CAAAGCCTCGATAGGTATACCTGTGATTTCGTGAATAGTGTCTCTCAAAGACTGCTTGTCCCCCAGCAGATCTCCCTCTTTCGAATAGAACGCCACCGATGCAGGAGCAAGCAGTTCCTGAAGCGTCTAGCCTCTAGTGAACCACTTGCTCTTCCTGAAGGCCGGCTTCCACCTCCGGCTTGATTCACTATCCGCATCAGGGGTGTTGCACTCAACGTCTAGAAGGTATACGTAGCACTTCTTTGCGTTTTGATACCAGCGGAACATAGAGTTGATCGCTTCCTGAAGTTCTTGGCTGTTCGTCTTGTCGATGCAGCAGGTGTCTACCCAAAAATAATCCAGCCCATTGCGCTTGGCTTGCTGAGCGCAGAAGAATATCTTTTGATAGCCCTCCTTGACTTTCGCATCAACTTCCTCTATACTGCTATAGTGCCGAAGGTCTTTAAAGGTTGCCTCCTGCCCACCCCAGGTGTGTGACAGGATCGCATATGAGGGAATCTTGTCTCCGATCAAGTCATCGGTCCATTCGAGCCTCCCCTCGCCAGTAGTGTATAGCAGCCGCATTAGGCTGTGTATCTGTCCGTACGCGCGAGCAGTAGAAGGAAGTCTTGGAGCTTCGATGCAAGCTGACGGAATCGACGGCGCGCGGCAGCTGGCTCGCGTAGGACGTGGAGATCGTAGCTATCGGGTCGTTTCGAATGCTAAGTAACGATTTGCTAAGGTAGAGGTGAGGTAGACTGTCTTGTTGGGTCAGGCTGCGTGTCCTACACCCGGGGCAGGAGGCGCAGCCCGCACGCGCCGTGACGTGAGGCTGGCTGGGCAAGGCTGACAGCGCATGATCGCGCGACAGCCACCGTGCTGCAAACCGAGAAGCAGTTATTGCCTAAAGACGCGGTCTAATAGTGTAGAAAGCGCGAGTTATAGGTCGTTGTTTCCTGTAAGAGGATGTTGGGATGTCTGTGTATCGCGTGCTATTTCGTGCAAGGACACACTGGCTACAGAGAATCTGCGCCGCTAACTATCGTAGGGCTCGGAACGCAACGCAGCGACAATAGCGTTAACAATCCAGAACATCTTAAGCAACGCATTTGTCTAACGCCAGCAAGCAACTCTAACGCGGACAACGAAATACTATGGATGTGCATCATGCTAAAAGCCATGTTCACACAGCCATCGCTTACCCAATCGCAACCTCGAACTAAAGCAAAGGCCAGGGCACCCTCATGCACATCCGCTAGGCCTACTTTGAGAGGCATACGCGACTAGCACAGCGCTGTATTCTTTACGATAGAATACAGCAGGCGATAAGAACGCTAATGCAGGCTCATGCATGCTAAGCGATGTTAGCGTATCCCGCCAGCTTAGGCGCGTTCCCTGAGATCTCCTGCTTCGCACTACGGGGCTGCCGGCATGCTCGCCCTTACATCGAAGCGATCTTACGAGCCTGGGAAGTTGATTGTCCTACGTCGCGCTTTGCGCATAGCCCTCCGAGCGCTTAAGTAGTCCTTAAAGTCATTGATAGACAGGGGGGTATCGCTATCGAGCTGATTAACGACGGCAACGAAACGATCGACATTACAGCCGACATAGCAGCAATCCATATCGGACGCTAATGTGCTTGAAGAGCAACGGCCTTACAATTATAGTAGACTGATAGCAGCTTTACAAGCCCGCAAATAGGAGGCGCCGAAGCTCCGAATTGCCAACCTGTCTCGCGACATAGTGTGTCTCCTCACTTAGGGACGCACCTTATGTACGTAGTCAGTAGCCTTGGCCTCAGCCTGAGCCTCAGCTGAACCCCGCCCACGCTGCGTCGAGTCGCAAGCTACCCTTCGTATCTACCCACACAAAGCCGGTGCGGCCCAAGCGAGTGAAGCCGCCCCAAGCCGCGGACATGAAGCCATATTTCTTGAATTGCCTGACCTAATAGCCTATCATCAAAAGGCTACCTTGTGAGCGTTTCCCAGATGGTCCACCAGATATAGGTTTCACGGAAACCAAGTCGAACGAACTCCAAGCTCTATAAGCTTCAAGGAATACGCTCAAGAACTGAAGGTAATACCCAAGACATCAGAGGATATCCAGGCCTATCGCAATTCTGTCCAGGATGAGAAACGCAGACAGACTGGTGAGCTTGACCATATTCAAAGGTCTTCCCTCCGAGGGTGTTTACTAACCTGATCTCAGTCATGCGAGATCTCACCATCCTGTACAATGACTTGACAGAAATTTTTGATCAGGATTCAAGAGAACTAAGAAAGAATGAGGATTCAAAAAACGGAACTGTGAATCCAATCAATATCCGAGCGTGTACTGAAAGAGCAAAGAGTTTAAGGGGTCGGCTTGAAGCGGTCATACCTACCGACGCAAACACACGTGGTACCGTGTAGATTCAGCAGGCTGTCGGTTCCAGATTGGACTGGCGTTCGAGCACATGAGGGAAGATTTTGCTTTGACTCGATCACTAGTATCTGAGAACACTTGAGACAGATTACGATCTGGCTTGCCTGTCGCGAAATATAGAGACAAGCGTTTGGGGTATCTTACGGCCAAACATGGAAAGTGAGCCTCGGTGTCTCAAGGTCGAAGAGGGATATCAGAGTTGTTTCCACAGAGTATCACTCTTCATGACCGCGCAAAAGATCGCGTGCATCGCAACATGTAGGGGCGTTTACAGAGGGATTCTAGTCGTGAGTTCTGTCTTCAATATGGCAGAATTTGGAAAGAGGCTTATGCTGTGTAACACAAACTTATTTCTGTGGATAAGACTTGACTGATGTGATCGACAAACGTTTTCGAGATATCTACCTAGGTAGCGCTGAGCTACAAACAGCGATGTGTGCCAGGTGTGCCAGTGTGGTGAATAACAGTCAGAGAGAACAACCATGTACCTGGATGCTGATGCATGGCTCAAAGCACACGATTCTGGACGGCAGCAGGAATGATATGAGCAAGTCGAACGTAAATATAGTGCAGACGCTGCAGGACCCTAGGACCTTTTCGCTAGGAGCTAGTCCAGCTGAATCCTTAGTCGGCCCCACCCTGCACTGCAGCGGCCTCGCATCCGTAGCTTTCAACCACCACGCGCCCCAAAAACCATGCCACGACACCAGGGAAGTCATAGTTCACTCTTGTACCTGAAAAGCTTCTATATTGCGGAGCGGCCGAGGATCGTTGAACTCGCTCGCGTGTGGCTTGCGTCAACACGTGCCTTCCAGGGGCTACTCCAATCACAGGACACGCCACGAACTAGGGTTCATCAATAGCGCGACTTGCTCATCTTACTTCGACGTCCCCTTTCCCTCGTAGGGTTTCGTGCCTTGCACATGGCCTGATGCGGACGACTTCCGACTCATCGTCTTGCTGAAGCGCGAACGCGATGAACGCCTTGGTGGCTGTCATAAGGGTCTGGACGAGGCTATCGTGGACTCTGTATGGGAGTATGCAAGCCACGTCGGAACCATTCTGTAGAGCGAGAACTTCTTCTCCAGGCAAAGGTAGGTATAAACCTGTGGCTTCTCAGTTTCTATCAAATCGTCATCTCGTTTCACTCTCTACGAGCATCCCACCAACAGTCATTCTCTTGCTCTTTGGTTAGTGATAATAGCACACTCTTTATTGCGTAAATCTTAATTCTTAATATCATTCGCGATGCGTTGGAATCTTCTCCTTCCTCTTGCAGCAGCGGCGACGCTTGTCGCTGGCAAAGTATCAACGAATGCGCGATGCGGAAACGCTTACAATGCCTTGCCCGGTGGTATGAGCTGTACAGGCTCGCAATGGGGTAACTGTTGCTCTCAATATGGTTACTGGTAAGCACCTGAATATAGAGTCCGCATGTTGTCCAGGCAGTCTAACAACATCTTCGCAGTGGCAAGACGAAGGATTATTGCGGAACTGGTTGTCAGTCATCGTTTGGAACCTGCAACGGCGTTGTTACATCCACACGCATTTCGACAACATCAAGCCGCAGCATCGCCTCATCTACCAGAGTAGTCTCGTCAGTGGCACCGTCTTCTACTGCAGTAAAGGTCAAGGTCACGACGAATGCTCGCTGCGGAAACCTGTACGGCGCATTACCAGCAGGAATGACATGTTCCGGTGGCAAATACGGTGACTGCTGCTCTCAGTACTCATACTGTGGAAGCTCAAGCGCTTACTGCGGGACGGGTTGTCAGCCTGGGTTTGGAAAATGCGATGCCGTTTCTTCGAGCTCTGCTATCAGCTCTTCGACTCTCGACTCCTCCAGCTCTCTCAGCAGCTCCAGCTCTAGTAGCGCTTCTTCCTCTAGTCTGGTTCTAATCTCCAGCTCTTCGACCAGTGAGTCGACTACCAGCACCTCATCTAGCGAGTCGTTGTCTAGTGAGTCCTCAACGTCAACTCCCATCCCGGTCACCTCCAGCACGTCCTCCGAAACCACCATCACTTCGACCTCTACCACCGCGACCCCGTCGCCAACTGCCGATGGATTCTGTGGTGTTGAAGGATACAATGTTGTCGGTTTCCCAGTGATGGCTACCAAGCCTTTCACGAGCTTAGATGCATGCTTAGCAGACTGTAAGGCAGAGAGCGGATGTGAGAGTTTCGTCGTCATCTCAACCTCGTGCCACCTCACCAGGATACCGATAACTAGCACCAACGTTATTCCTCGACCAGGTAGCGGCGTAAAGTTCTACAACCGTGATTGCGTAGCCGACCCCTTGGCAGCCACCACCCCACTCGCCACACTAGCAACATCTACCGTGCCTACCTCGACCAGCATTACCAGCACATCTACATCTACCGTCTGCACCCCCGCAGCGCCAACGGTATCCTGTGTCGCATACCCCAACTGTCCAAAATTCACCGCAGGTCTCGCAAACAGCTGCCCTTCCTACGGCGCGCAATGCCAAGACAACTACTTTGTCCGCTGCGAAAATACACCAGCTCCAGGCTCCCAAACTATCCTTGAACTTCCCAATATCTCAGTCGACGAGTGCCGTCAAAGATGCGACGGAATCGATAATTGCGCGGCCTTTTCATACAAAGCTTCCACGTGCTATTTGTGGAAGTCTATCAATGGGTTTAATTCAGACTCGGCGACTGTATATATTAGGATTTGTCCGGCTACTACTTGCTCTAGTGCACCGGTTCGCCGGGGAGAAGAGAGGATTAGCGCTTTACAACGGTGGCGGAAACCCACTTAGTTTTGATATGTAGGATGATAGTGCGTAGGCGGATATGGTACAAAGAAGTTCTCTTCTTCTACCTTATGCTCCGCCAAGAGTCACAATGAAAGTATACAGTGTATTTTTCACTACGATAACCATCGAATATAAATCTTCCCCGATCTTGAATCTTTCTTCCTCGCACACACACGTAACCTACATGCATTATCGAGACTCAAGATGTCTAGCCAACCGAGTTCAAGCCGTCTACTAGACCTACCCAGAGAGCTCCGCGATATGATATACGAATACGCACTCACTGAAGATCAGGGTCTCCTTCTTGTTGAGCGCGACGACACCCAGAAGAGTTTCAAGGGATGCCGACCGACTGATCCCAGCACCGAGTCCAACTGCCTCAAATACGTTTGTCGTCAGCTATACTACGAAACTAAAGGCTTAGGTCTTGGTCTGAACGATCTTACCATCCGCTCGGGATTTCGGGAGCAAACCGAAGATTTTATTACATTCCTTGGTACATGCTCGGTCGGCCAGCAACAGTGCATTCGGAAAGTCACTCTGTGCACTAGATACGACCTTTTCACTGGCTCCGAAAAACGTGATTCGGAGTGGCCTTTTGGTCAACTGCTGCAGATGAGCGCCTTCCATCCTCACATCACCTTTCACCTGTATCTCGCCCACCTCCATGAATCCTCCAGGGGCGACTGGTTCATTCATGAAGCCACCTTGTTGTACTATGCGAAGCACGGTTTAGATGTCAAGCATCCCACCGTCAACAATAGATTACACGGCTTTTGTAAGGAGGGGCATTTTTTCTTACCCAAAATACCCAACCAGATTCGGGTGTTTCCTGGTGCGGGACCAGGCCTTATTCACTGCCCACCTCGCTCCAAATTCACACCGGGCAAGTGGAGCGAAAGGGAAGTGACAGTCTTTCGGGAAGAGATTGAGAAGTGGTGTGGTGAGGGTATCTGAGTACAGCGATGAAGACATGTCCTAAAGGTATGCACTTGGCTGGTGCGCTACAACCCTGACTGGGAAACACTAGCATGTACCTTCAAGGCAGTTTTTTGTAGTTATATGGGTCGATCATGATGGGTAGTACAAGTTCTATGTCGCATAGCTAAGCAAACATAATGTAAGACAACACTTGAGGATCTATAAGTCAACAGTGCTACTGATCTTTATACGTTCTCTTGATAAAAGTTAATGTAGGATGCAGGACAGAGCTTAGTATTTCTGTACCTTTCTGATACTTATCTGTAGTGAGGCAAGGGGGAACATATGTTCCAAAGATATACTTAAACTATGTATTATCACTCTGACAGGGAAATATTAGCGTATGCCTCTAGGGCAAGACAACATTCACATAGAATTGCAGCGGATGATAAGTTGTTTGATGATAATGTATTGAGTATGTACTATATAAGCATACTCTTGCATTGTCCCATAGAACGGACAATCATTTTGAATTACAACTGATAAATTTTAGGCCGTCACAATCCACATCCAAACGTGAATATAGTTCTTTCTCCATCGTAGCCTCATTCATACAACGACCAGCCATTTAAACCTGGTTCTCGTTGCGCTCAGCCGGCTCCAAGATACCGCCGTGGGTACCAGCCTGCTCAGCCTTGCTAAAGGTACGACCACCAGCACCCATGTGCAGCCTGTCGGTGTCGACGAGGCCGTCCTTCTGCAGACTCGACGGGTCCCATTTGGCGGAAGTGATAGGGTTGACGTGGATCATGTACATGGTGTCGATCTCCTCGAGCGAACGGCCCTTGGTCTCAATCATGAAGAAGTAGACGATGATGAAGAGCAGAACCAGGGAGACAGCGAAAACAAGACCGTACAGGTAGTTGATCTCATCGGTGATGAGGGTGGAGCAGAAGGAGATGATGAAGTTGAAGAGCCAGTTGGATGCGGTAGCGAGACCCATGCAGGTAGCGCGGTAACGGGCAGGGTACAACTCTCCGACGATGGCCCAGACAAGGGGTCCCCATGTAGTGGCGAATGCGGCAATGAACAGGCAGGTGAAGACGATCATGACGTTTCCAGCCGCAGGTGTGGTCTGGGGAGCATTGCGATCGAGACCGTACTGGCCGACGAAGGAGTAGATGAACAGACACATGGCCATCCACGCAGCACCGACCATCATAGCCTTGCGGCGACCGACGTTCTCAACGACCCAGAGACCGAAGATGGTGGCGACGACGTTGACGGTACCGAGAATGATGGAAGTGACGTAGGAGTTCTCGAGACCGGTGGCAGAGAAAATGGTTGTTCCGTAGTAGAAGAAGTAGTTGGCACCAGTCAACTGCTGACCAGCCTGGAGGACCATACCGAGCAGGGTACGGTACAACATGCGGGGACCGGTGAAGATCTCGTGCCATGGGTGGTCACCACCGGCAGCCTCAGCCTCGAGCTTCTCCTGGATCTCGGCGATTTCAGCGTCGATGAAAGCACTGTGGGGGTCAACACCGTTGAGACGGGCCATGTTGGCGCGAGCCTCATCGACCTTGCCCTTGCGGTATGCGTAACGGGGAGACTCGGGCAGAAGCAGGATGGTGCTACCAAGGATGATAGCCCAAAGTGCGGAGAGACCGTTGGGGATACGCCATTGAGCACTGTTAGTGTAGTCCTTTGATGTACCGTAGTTGACCATGTACGCAGTCCAGATACCGAGTGTGATGAACAATTGGTAAGAAGAGACAGTGGCACCACGGATGCGCTTGGGGATCGATTCAGACTGGTACATGGGGACGACGGTGGAAAGGGCTCCGATACCGAGACCGGCAGTCAAGCGACCCATGGCGAACTGAACCCAGACGTCCTTGCTGGTGATTTCGATAATGACACCAGCAATGTAGAAGAAGGCAGAACCGGAGATAGTGAGACGACGACCGAAGGTGTCAGCAAGAGGAGCTGAACCCAAGCATCCAAAGAGAGTACCGACGCTGATAGATTGTTAGACGCGCTTCTTGTGTTCGAAGACAATTACTTACGCTAGCAGACCGACAATAGCACCAGAGCGGGTAGCAGAGAACTCAGCGTTCTCACCGAAGCGTTGCTTGAAGTCGTCCATTTCGAGGAAACCAGAGATCTGTCCAGACTCGTATCCGAACATGAAACCACCAATACTGGCGACAGCACCGAGGATGATAGCAACGGCAGGCACGCGGCCCTTGGGCTCAAGGTCGGTGGCCTGCACAGCAGAGTTACCCCTGGAAGGCGTCTCCGCAGGAGTACCAGTGGCTGGCGTTCCCTTCTCGTGTACCTCCTCCTCAACCGCCTTCTTCTTGTAAAAACGCGACAAGACCGTCATGTTGGGCGCGTTGTAATTAGGAATTGATAGAAAATAATATAAAGTGTCGGTCAAAGATGAGCCGGTCTGCAGCGCGGGGTAGACTTCTCAGGAAACCGAGCTGGAGAGAAGCTGGAGAAGAGGAGACCAGTGTGGACTTTGAGGAGAAGGCTGCACCGTATAAATAGCAGAATGCATGCGGAGACGGGTTTGTAGGGTCTATTGACAGTGGAGCCCCAGTGTCAGTCTCATCCGCATATCCATACGACTAAGTTTTTCCAGAACGCCCTAGGCATGGAGGCGACAGGAGGCACTCTCGCACGAGCGCCCTGGCAACGGAGGTATGATGACATCGCATCGTGAAGCTGGAACCGACAATGGGGCAGCCTGTCACGAGTACGCTCGAGCCGGAGAGCTGCCGGTTGTGAATTTTCTTCAAAGTCGCGCAGTATCGGAATGGTTGGACACGCCGAGAAGCACAGACGGTGATAGTGCAATGATCGGCCCACCGCACCTATTGCAAGTACACGACGGTTCCAGTTCTGGGCAGTTGTAAACTCGTTCGTATGGAATACCATTCGTGATCTCGCCCAGGCATCTCCAAGAATAACGGCGGCGAACGTTTGCCCTCGCGTGGCCACCGTATATCGTGATGTTCGTGGTACGCGCGAGTATCGGCGAGCTACGCGATCCGAAGTATCCAACGCTGGACTTCACCTAGCTGGCCTATCAGAACGTTTGGGGCTACCCGGGATGTTCCTCATGCAGGGGCATAGACGCGTCTATAGTGCAGATGAGGCTGACAAGTGCTTTATGTCACCCAACATATGCAAGAGGTGTACGCACGGACGGGACGGTTCTCACTAGATGCCGCAGAGCCTCAAGTCGCTTGGAGCGTTGAATCCGGTTATTGAGTCCAGAAGGTCGTCATTGGATGGAAGCCGGCGCGACAAAGTTATTCTCCGGCCGGTGCTGCATATTTTGTTCCTAGTCCCTGGTGATTGGTACGCCTGAACTTCTGCATTCGAAAGATGGGGGTGGCCGTTCCTGCAGGACCTATCCAAAAATCCGCGGAGCGCGGTATCTCATGGTTCACGACGTCATATGTCTCGCTGGGGTCTTTCCTTGCTGGCAAATTCATTCGCATTCCTCGACGATGTCCATGGTATCAACTTGGCAAGTTTGCCCGGAAACGCCGGTCTTGGCCGACGCGCAACAAAAACTCATCTCCGACTCCGAGGTTGCAGCGCTAGCGGCCCGCTACGCGCGAGAAAGCGTGAAAATCCTGAGCCAAGAATCGTGAAGTTTTTGACAAAAGAGGGTCCTGGTGGATCATAGCGAGAGTGTCGCGAGATGAGCAATGTAATCTGTGCCGTTTTCCAGATCACGATGCTTTGTCCAAATTGTGAAACCGGGTGATGTTCGGAAGACCGAGGGGTTACCGGTAGATGGGAACGGCAATGTGTGGGATAACAGTTGTGGTGCGCATGTGGGGAGACATGTTGATGGAGTCTCCAGATACCTCTGCAATAGTTAGCTTTTACTCCGTGTTATAGTAGAGGGATTCCCCATGGGTCATGTGTGTATGGGGTGCTGGTCGCAATGAACAAAAGTAGCATGTTGAGCCAAAAGAAGTAAATACACGTACCTGTGTCAACCATTGGAATCAGCGCACCAAGCCCAGAGAGCACTTTCTCTCAAGCTTGCTGCCACCATGCTGCCGACATTCTGGAAGAGCCAAACAGACGTGTCACCCCGTGGGGAGCGAGACCTCTTATACAAATTGCTTCGGACGCCTTTCCTCCGGCTGTGGAGATGCCTCGACTCCAGAAAGGCGCCGATCCACCAATGAATGATGTAGTCCCGTGATGAACGAGCCGGCTGCCGTTTCTATTGCCTAAATTACCGACTCCTTTGAGCCCTCTTTTACGTTTTGCTTGAGTCGTTCAGTGCGCGAAGGCTTCCCGCTTGTCGGATGGCATGCTGCTTTGGGAAGAGTCTAGGCCGCCTTCGCGAAGTGCGATACTGTTGTGAATGTCGCGTTCGAGCTGTGAGGGCGGTGATCATCCGGAAAAGACTGCTGTGAAGGGAGATGCTCAGTTCGATGCAGTCTTGACGATTGTGTGCATTGTTCTTTTCGGAAGCTGCTTTGGTGAAGGGTGTGTTGGCCCTTCTTCATCGGATGGGGCGGGTTGGGGTGTGGAGAAGGAGGCTCTGGGGTAATGCGGATTAGTTATCGCCAAGCGCCGCTAAACACCAAAATGGAGATACCGGCGTGCCTTCAGTTGACGAGCATCCTATTTGTGAAATGACATCCTGTATAGAGACATTCAACGTGGCTTTGAAAGATCCGTATTCCTCAATGGCATCGACGTACAGAACTTCACTCAGCTGGCGCGCTTGACGCACAAACTCTCCGTCGACGAACAATGCGCACCTATTTTGAACATTGAACCCGGGCAGACCGAGCTTGTAAGACGGCTCGGCGTGCACGTTCGATCCCTACATGTGGATACTGACATCACGGGATGGGACACTGTCAGACAAATTTTCAGTTATTGAACAGCCATTGATTGACGAGGAGCATTTGTGAACATGGTATCGAGAACCCGCAGGTCGCTATTGGCTGTCAGCGTGGACATGGCTGATGTGCAGGTTGAGTAGCCAAGAGTTTCGAGAAGACAGTGCCCTGAATCTCTGCTCTCAAACTTTTGCGTGGCCCAATAAACGAGATGCTGACAAAACCAGGGTGTACCAGACAAAGTATCCGCAGCTTGTATGTCGTATGTGTCAAATTCCGTGTGCGTACCATTCCCTGATTTGCGCTAACCAATTCTCAAACCCCCTCTTCTTTTCTGTTTGCGAGTACCTTAGTTCGGCTTCGTTGTAAGAATCCTGTGGAAAATATTTGAGGTTATCCGGATAGCGGAAGCCCTGTTCGAAGCTCCCAAAACCGTGGCGGGTCGTCATTGCTCGTGCGACTTTGTCAACGTCGCTGGTGAACGTGGCATCAACGTTGAAACTCACCCTCTTTCCTCGTAAGATTAGCTGAATGGCAGCTCCAGCGACAAGGAGAGCACGGCAGCCTTGAGTGATTCTTAGACTGTTCGACAACACGATAACCTCGAGGTGGGGGTGTGCTTCACACAGTCTGACATGCTCGTCGAACATATCACTATCTATGAAGTAGTAGTCTGGTTGATTTTTGCGACGATCAACTACCATTCGACGAGGATTGGAGGACAGTCGAACTAGGATGCGAGCATGTTCAGAGGTACTCTGGGGATTTGGCCCTCCACACAACGGTTGAATCTGGAGATGATTGGGGTAGACAAAGACCGACTCAAGGCGGAGAAAGACTGAGTCAAAGCGGTACGTGAGGATTGGACTGCAGATAACATCACAGCTCCAAGACACGTGTGTCCAATTAGATCCCCTAGTCTCGAAGCGGAGCTGCCGGCAAGTGTGCACCAGTCCTTTCACGGCATGAAATCGCCTGATCTGAGCTGCAGTAGGCAACTCATCTTCACTGAGCCCCACTATATGCAGCGGTCTTGTCGTTTCTAGTGCGTACTGATAGATCGCATTGCGTATCTCGCCGGATAACATGAGCAGTGGACTCTGAAGCTGGACGAGAATCGGATTTGAAACTGGTAGACACGCTTAGAAACTGGACAGTAGTGAGAGAAGCGGGCCTCACCTGTGCGCTTCCTCTTGCGACTCTTAGTCGCGTTGGTAGCGGGCATGTTCAAGTTCGCTATCAGGTCTTAGTGTAATCGTCGTTTGTGCACTGGAGTAAAGGAAATTCGTAGGTTGTCGCACACTGTTAAGTTTTGTGTGACTGGAACAGTCACGAACCATGGTACGATCAGGTGGATTGATTTCTCCGAACGACCCACTTGATGTAAAGAAGCTGATCTCTCAGGACCGACCATATGGGATCCTCTGGAATCGAGGTTAAGCCTAGCGCTAGACGCAGTGTGTCAACGTAGCCCAAGAGCTCATCTGGACTATAAGATCCTGAATGGCTCAATGCATACATCAGTTCCCGAAGCAGGTCCAATGGAGAGAGTGTATAATTTGGCCTAATGTTGAGTTTCTCACGCTCTTTCTCGTTGATCAGAGCGAGAAGTCCGTACGCGCGATCTCGCACATCAGCGCACTTCATTTTTATACCGAATTCGTCGAGGTGTCGTTTGAGGGAGAGCTGTTCGGCACGTACGTTTCGCACTTTTCTTCCCTGCAATAGTTGCATGGTGCAACTCTCTGCGAGATGAGGAGTCTTGAATACCACATACACCAGCCATTTAATCTTTTGTGGATCGACTGAATCCGTGCCGCACCACATATCCACACCTTTTGCCAGTAGGTACTCCTGCACGACCCAGAGTCGCTCCCAATACTCGATTTTGCATAGCTCTTCCAGGCCTAATCGCTTATGCTCCCACTCATGATCATCAATTGCCTTCCAAACCAATTTGAGATTTTCGTCAATCTTCAGGCTGTGCATGTCATGGAGAAGTTCGGCGATGAGTGGAGTTGACCGACCGAGCCAGACTAGGACTTTCTGTGCTCGTGAGTATATCTTTCCCATCATTGCGACTTGATGATTTCGTTCCTCCACTTGCGACTGGTCAATGCATATAGCATCAATCCTAGGTAGCTTTCGGGTCTCTGGCTCCTTCGTTCATCGTCCTTCCATTCAAGAGATATCGTCCGAAGTTTGCAAGATATCCGTCCCTCTTCATCACGGACCAGATTTTCGATCACTCGAATGTTCGTGCTAGAAATGTCTCGATCTAATGGCACCGCTTCGTAGATACTGTTCATTGTAATGCTTCCAAAGATCCCAATCCAAATGAAAAGGGTATCGAATAGGGAGTAAAAAGAAGGATGCAAGGTGCGACAAAGTAGCATCATATGGATATGCCTGTGCCGGCGGCAAAGAGGAGATGAAGTGGCGCAGAGTGTTGGGCTAACACGTCAAGGCCGCACGCCTTGCTCGCGAAGAGAGAACAGCGCTCACCGGAAAGCCGCATATCTCCAATTGGTAGGCGGCACTGCCCGCATAGCCTTTCCATGCTGTGTCACTGTGCTTTTTCGCGATCTACCAATCAGACTGGGGTGCAGCAACGATCCCACATCCCTCTCAACTTCTCTGCCTTGGATATTCGTGAACTCAATAACCACCTTGTCATTAGGGAGATTGTTACAACCAGAGCAACGATGAGGTCATCGCGCTTTCGCAAAGGTCAAACCTTGGAGATTTACTAAGAAGTGGAATGCTGTGTATATGTATGGGGCGCTCTTGCCCAGCACTAAGACACGATTAGCACCGTGCACTGACACACGCACCTGTCGCGCCCTCACTCTACGCTGCGATCTGCGCTCTGCACTCTACATGCCGCGCGCAACGTCCTGTCCTGTTTCTATCAACTAAACCTATTCGTGACTGGTGCCACTTGCGCACTTGATGAAGATGCCGATACGACCTACCAGAGTTTCACTGTAGCGTGTTCATATGTTACGCGGCGCCCTCAGCCAGACCGAGAGGGGAGCTGGTATGTCTAGCTGGATTCGCTTTCACAGCCACAAATGATTGTGGTGGCTTGGGAACCGATGGACCACACCGGCGAGGCCATATCAACAGGGCGGGGAGTGGGCAGCATATGAGGGTGCAAGAGTAAGCGTTTTGTGCATAGCTGACTGCGCCACCGCTTGCCAACCGATATAACGCGCTGTCTGGGATCGAGAACTGCGATAGCGTTCGATATTCATCTACATGGAAGCGCATCCTATTGCAAGCGTGAAAGCCACAAGCACTTTGCGCGATACTCGGAACATACTTTGGCGAAGCCTCGAGGATCGAAACGTGTCTCAGCCTAGTGTACAGCAACATATCTCTGCCGCAGACGCCAATGTAGCTCAGCCTCGCGCGCATCAACATACCGCAAACTCGTGAGCAGCGAAGTGGTCAGGCACTTCAGCATGGCAGTAGGATTCGGGGTTTCGGTAGGAGATCTCATCGCCGTAGGAAAGCTGGCTCACGACATCGCGATTGCTCTGAGTGACTGCCGGGGTGCTTCTGCGGAATACCGTTCCTTGATCGAGCTTCTCGATTCTCTGAGGACATCTCTCAACCTTATCAGTAACTTCGTATCAACTTTACCTATCACGTCGTCTTCGCGAGTGAACCAAGCTTTCATAAGTGGTATTCTGTTCCATGCTGGATGCTGTCACAGGTTACTGAACGAGTTTGCTGTACGTGATCCGTCATACTGAAGTCATTTCGTTCTGTCAACAAAACTCACCAAACGTGTAGGCGGATTCCCGAAAGTACACTCAAAGCTTGCTGAACGGCCAAGGCTCTAAGGCGAAAGTTGCGTTTCGGAAGATCAAATGGTCTCTTTACAGCGCAGAAGATAGCCGACGCTTGGAGCGGAGATTAGGCACGCACATGGAAGCCTTCGATCGCTACCTCCTCGCAATCAACATGTGAGGGATACTGGGACACTGAAGCACGGATGCTGACTTTTTGACGTGTAGTCAAACTGAAACTAACTTTGCGGAAGAGTCTCGAGGACAAGTCAATCAAATCTCCGTCACAGTGGCAGCGATATACGATACGGTCCAAACCACGCAGAAGATGATGCCCAAAATGCTCGGATATCCATGGGAAGGAGACGTCCTCTCTTCGCATGTTCACATCGAGGACGTGTTGGGTAGACCATTAGTCCTCCCAATCATGCTTTGTCGTACAAGACAAACGTTGAAGGACACCATGAGAATCATGTTCTCTGATCACCCCGGATTGAAGGAAGTAGTGGACGGCAATTTCGAGCTCGTCGACAAGCAAAATCAGCTGACAATCTTCGATGGCCGCGTTGACACGCCTCAAACAACAAATTATCGTTCTCCTTCGAATGCTGTTCAACCCGAAGCTAAGCTGCTAATGAACATCTTGCGTGTAAAGACTGTTCATGCTCCAAGGGACTCCTTAGTCGCTTCCGTTGAAACCCTGGAAACTTGCCCACGATGCGGCTTCGCAACTCCTGGTCGGCGGTTTAGAAAATGGTAGGTACATACTCTAGACTTACGGACTCTAGCTGACCCCCATAGCGCGAATTGTGACATGAACTTTAAGAAGTCAGTGCGAGAGTTCCTTGGAGAACCAGCGGTGGCGGCTGGTGTTGAAGATTGGCCGGATGATCCACTTCCGCGTACAATACTTAATCCACCACCCATAGACTACGCACCTACGAAACCACCCAACGCTGATATGGAGGCTGAATATATTCAACGCGTTCATGAAATTGCGGTGTACCTAGTCCCATCGTGGTATTATAACTCCGGCAACTTTGGTCAATCAAGGCTTCCCTTGATTCAGGCAGTTGGCCAAGGAGATCTCCACTGGGTCCGACAAATACTACTGAAAACCGATACCGATCCAGATACAAGAGATTACCAAGGTTGGACGGCTTTGCAACAAGCCTGCTCTATCAGGGTCGATTCTCCAAAGAGTAGAAACCAGGAAGCTATCGTCAGGCTATTGATATCGCAGGGTGCAGATGTAAACGCTGCTCCTAGCGACTTTTCCGGCAGAACAGCTCTGCAAGCGGCGTGCTATTCTGGAAACGAAAGAATCGTATATCTGTTACTGGAGAAAGGTGTTGAAGTCAACGAAGATGTTGCGCCCGTCGGTGGACGGAGCTCTCTAGAAGGTGCTGTTAAGGCAGGTCATTTTGGCATCATCAAGGAACTTCTCAATCTGGGTGCAGACATCAATCAAACAGCTAGCGAGGAACATGGGCGCACCGCGCTGTCGACTGCGGCTGAGCAAGGCAGTCTCGAGATATTCGATTTTCTGATTGAAAATGGGGCAAACACACACGGGTCTGCTGGCTTATTCGCCTTGGAAGCGGCTATACGTTGGAATCAGCTAGGCGTGGCAGACCGCCTTCTCGAACAAGATCTAGACGTCAATTCTTGTGCCAATGGCCCCGCCCCTTTGCATTCAGTAGGATCCATTGAGATGTTAAACCTGCTAGCTGCCTACGGAGCTCGCTTTGATATACCCGGCTCCGAAGCTTCTGGACCTACAGCGTTACAACAGGCTGCACAGTGGGGCAGCCTCGATCTGGTCACTGAACTCGTACGCCTGGGCTCCGATGTTCATCTTCCTGGAAACAGATATCATGACGGGAGTGCACTCCAAGCAGCCGCTGCCAAGGTCTGGGTTGATGTTGAAGAAAACGTTGGTATAATGAGCTTTCTCGTCGAAGAGCACGGCGCGGATGTCAATGAGCCACGTCCTGAAAAGAAGGGATTTACAAGTCTCGAAGCAGCGTGTCGTGCAACAGTTATTCCTCACAAGCGCTGCAGGACAATTGATAGCGTGAAATTTCTGGTCGAGAGAGGGGCCGTCATTACACCTTTCACGCTACATGTGGCCGCCGCCCGAAACCATACCGAACTACTCGACTATCTCCTGCGAAACGGTGCGCGCATTGAAGATATTAGCAGTCCGGCCCACATCTCAAGCATTGGAGAATATACGAATAACTACTGCGAGTTTGGTCCGACAGTCATCGAGACTGCCAGATTCAATGATCATATGGCGCTTGCAGAAGCTCTGGAAAACTGGTCACCATCGAACCAGCTAGAAATGCGTACAGACGAGGAAGATGCAAACTGACTGTTTAGATCTTCGATTTAAGAAAAAAGTGTGAACCATCGAGACAAAGAGTGATCATTGCATCTCTCGACGACACGACATCTAAGAACTGGCTCTAGTTCCGCATGACTGTGTACGAGCACATACTGTCGTACAAATCCAACTAGAGAAACCCATCCACTACCCCACCAAATCCCCCAACTTCACCGCCTCCCCAGCCCCAGCCCCAGCAGCACCCCCAATCCCCACCTCCCTCTTGAACCTCGATAACCAATTCGGAAAGTCCGCCGGCGTCTGATTCCACGGATCATCCCCGTCATACATGATCCACCTCGCCTGATGCTGAATCTCCTCATCGCTCGGAACATGACAATTCGGATTCTTGGGCGAGAGCGTCGACGCCGCCCAGCGCCTCATATCGCTATCGAAGATGCGGTAGAAATTGGTATCATCAGGTAGCAAAGAGCGCAAGCGACCGTACATGTCTACCTGCGTGGCAGTAGTCGTCGTCGATTCAGGCAGCATGGGAGGCGTGTCTTCTGGGAAAGCGGGGAGGGAGGAGGTGAAGAAGTCGTGTGTCTGTTTGGAAGGACTTGCGGTGCCGAGGGCGGAGATTGATGCTTCTTCGTAAGGTGAGTTTGGCCAGGAGAGGTTTAGTAACTGAGTCGAGTCGCTTTCTGTTGGGAAATCGGTGGTGACGGTATCATATATAGCAGCGCGTTGCTTGAAGGGCAAAATCCAGTTTGTGCCAGAGTAGATGCCCTTGACGATCCAGTTCGCAAACACGTCGGATGGTGTGCTAGACTCTTGTTCCATGCGTCGAATGATCTGGCATGCTTCGTTGTACAGTTGTACGTCGTCGAGACTCTCCCCTGCTGTAGTACGCTGGGTGACGAAGCCACGGAGTTGCGCCTCCAAAGGGCATTGTTCGAATAGATGGTCTTTGGCATTTATCCGTAGCGGAAAATGCCTGCTCTCGCGGGAGGATCGGACGGGTTGAAACCTTGCGCGTTCAGTCAACTCAGGAGAAGACATCATCAGGTCTCGAAGCCATGAAACCTCATTAAGACGATCTGGCATGACCGAAGTGGTCTCGGCCGCGAAGATGATACGACAAGCTTCCAGCTGCATAGTATCGTTGTCCGGTAGGTGGCCGTGCTTGTCGAAATAGCGCTGGATAAAGAACTCGGTCTCAACTTTGAGCAGCTCGTATGCGTTTGGCGGGGTACCCCAAGATGGATCGCTGCCTTTCATAGGAATAAGAGTACCTCTTTCCCAATCGATGAGATCTAGTGCGACGTCAGTTTGATAGAATTTCCAAAGACCAGCCGAGCAGTAGCGTACCAGGAGGAATAGCGGTCTCGACTAATGGTACAACAGACGCGTCGAAACCCCAATCTCCTTGCCAACTGGCCATTGTCACACCAGACTTGAAGTGATCAGCGATATGATCGGTTCTTTCCGACCATGTACTCATCGTGATGCCACAGAATCCGCATCTTGACCTGACGTCAGGTATAGGCAGCATCCAGCGGGCCATGGACCAATCCGAAAACTCGACGCCATGCACTAAGCGGAGGTGCTGGACAAGGTGATCTTTGCGGTGAAACGTGCGCTCCTGTAGACTTCTCTCCTGACATGCCGGGTAGTGATGCGCTTCAATATGGGCGTTATCAGGCCGAACCTCACCGCAAAAGACACAACACTGCTCTCCGAGCGACTCCTTGGTAGTACGAGGGCCCTGAAGCGCGCAAATCCATCTCTCGAGTGGTAAATGGAGCGACTTTTCGTGACGCTGCCAGTCGTATTTGGTCTTGAAGACTTCCGTGCAGAAGGTGCATTGGTACGGCATGCTGATAGGCAGGGTAATCTCTGGTTCCAGACGTCGACGTCGGGCGACCCTTTTCTTGCGTGGAGCACGACGCATTTTGAGAGAGTTTTGGGACCCTGATGAGCAATGGCCTGAAAATTCACTCGATTGGGACGTTCTTGCACTGCTTGCTGAGGACATGGCATATGGTGACTGCCATGGCTGATGGTATGCAAAACCCTCAGCATCTTTACCTGAGCACAGTTAGTAGAGTATTCTCACTGAACCAAACAAAGCGCAGTGGTTCCAAGGTTGACAAGATGACTCACGTGAAGTGGAAGCCATGGCACGAGCGATATCGCCAACAGCCGCAGGTTCATGTTCTGGTGGCGACTCTACCCAGCGCTGCATCGGATCTTTGTGGTTCGAGGCCATTTTGACAGCAGGTGTGCCAGGTCTCGGGATGATATCGATGGGAGAGGTGGGTGAGTTCTTTACTTGCGGCGAAGTCGGTCGAACGCTCTGCACTTTGCCACGTCGACGGGCATTCGCAAACCAGTTCGTGAGCTGCGCCTTGTTCAATCCCGTACGATCCTGGAGGGCCAACATCTCACTCTCAGTAGGGTAAGGGTGCTTTTGATGAACAGAAAGCCAATCTTTGAGCGTACGGATGACTTCTCTGGAGAAGCGGCTGCCGAGTTTGGGTCTGGAGATTGAAGCGCTTGGCGTAGGAAAGGGCGACGATGACGCAGTAGAGTTGTTCGACAGATCCAAAAGCGACGAATCCATCATCCAGTTTTCGTTATACTGACAGGATGCAGCGTTAGAAGCTGCCAGTGCTTCGGACAAACCGGCGAAAGTGCCATCGTCCAAGGTTTGATCTGAGCCAAAGTGGTTATCCTGAAAGGCGAAGAAAGCATCCAGATCTGCTGCACTATCCATGTTGACGATTCCTTGAACTTTACGAGCATGAAGAGAGAGAGTTTGCGGGGTAGGAAGGTCGGTTTCCAGGGACACGCTAAGTTGTTCTGATGCTAACGAAAGAAGGGATAGCGCACATGTCAACTACGCCTTACGCTAGGTTCGTTGGAAAACTCCGACCCAAAATATACTTGCTCCGCGCTCGTGTTCATGCTAGCAGTTGATCGTTACAGACGCGAATGTCCACTCCTGGACGCTGTCCTTCCACGTGGTTACTATCTGAATGCATTGCTGAATCATACAAGGCGTATCGGCCGTTGAAACCTTTGCTGCTTCTTGGAGAAGCGGAGAATCAAGGATGATGAAGACAAAAGTCCGTACATGCGCACGTCTATAGGTGCCAGATGTTGTTCGATTACAGCGCGCAACTGTGACAGTCTTCCACGTAGTTGAACATAAAGACTCCAGTTCACATCCGCCTACCCGTCACGGTCAGTACCCAACACTACTCATACAGGTCTACAAGAAACTCACTCATCCACTCCCCCCTTTCCTCAACCTCGCCCAAGGGTCTTCAACAAAGCTGGGCAAGAAGTACGCTGTATCCCCATTCTCCGTCCTGACACCGTTGCGAAGCATATTCAACTCTGCCCGAGAAATTGAAGGACCGCCAAAAGACATCATTTCTCCTGCAGATTGATCGGCTGAAGCTGCCGGAGCTTGAGTAGTTGCAGTCGGAGGCGGGTGTTCAGGAAGATTCTGGCTACGAGCCAGAAAGCTGGCAAGACCTGCGTCTGCCGTTTGATTCTTCTTTTGTTTACCCAGCGCATTACTTTGGGCCTGCAGTTTCTCACTCTTGACATCTTCTGCACTCGCCACCTTTTTTGTTCGGACGCCCAGTGCAGTCGAGTTGGCACCGCTTGCATCATTCGCATCGGGCTTGGCTTTGGGCGAGTGGTCGAATTTACGTTTCTTTGTACCGCCAAACGAAGCAAACCCCATAGCTGCTGCTATCTCGTCGTTTTCCTCGTCGTCCATGTCCATGTTGGCGGATTAGTGGTGTGCCTGTTGAGCTGGGCCGCGACCAAGATCGCGATGAAGAAGCTTGCCTTGCTGAGCTACCGAGACGCGTACGTGCACGGACTGCTCCCTAACATGTCTGCATCGGCACTCGGAGCTTGGCAACTGCTACCTGCACGCACCCCAGCCGCATCCGCATTTCTCATCCCACTATCCCCAAGCCATCACGGAGACCCACACTCCGAGACTACAACGGGGATCCACGCACCGGAAGCAGTATCCCTACCTTCACTACGTATGTTTACATATTTCCGGAAAAACTTACCTATAGACCTCGTTCCAGCAGAGAGCGATGATCTCCACTCCAATGGAGAAGGTCGCATCGTCGGGGCGTTCTTCCTCCGCTCATGATGTCAACCGCAGGCGATATTCACGGGTACTCGCATAGTCGGACCGGAGCCTCGGGTTGCGCGGATGGGCATATAAGCTTCGATGTGATCCTTTGTTGTATGCTTGTGTCCAAGCCACATTCTTAGCATCTTTGGGTTCTCGAGATGAAAGCAGCTCTTCAGGTGTTGTTCGCCTCGCTGGCTGCGGGCTCTGTGCTTCCGAGAGGAGGTAATGACAGTGCAATTCCAGACGACGACTTTGTCTATGTAGATGGACTGCGATTGTATAATGGCGATGGATTATACTATCTTACTGGTAATATCGTCTTCAGGTCTCTTGAAGCCACAGACTGACTATGATCAAGGTATCAACTACTGGGCTTGTATGAATCTCGCCGCAGGTCCATCCGCAGGCGGCAACTACTCGCGCCTAGTCACAGAGCTCGATCAAATGGCATCCAAAGGCATAAACCACCTGCGTATCATGGCCGCATCAGAAGGCGCTCCAACCCCACAGCCTTTTAGAATGAACCCGCCGCTCATGTCCGCCCCGGGCCAGTATAACGAAGACGTCTTCACAGGCCTCGACATCTGCCTGGCGGAGATGTCAAAACGCGGTATGCGCGCCACCATGACGTTGAACAACGAATGGCAATGGAGCGGCGGCTTTGCCCAATACGTCTCCTGGGCCAACAACAACACGGCGATTCCCTACCCAGAGTCCTGGAACCTGACCGCACCACCGCAGCGCGAAACACCTGGAACGGGATGGGGAAACTACACCGAAGAAGGTGTGGACGCGGCTCCATACAGTAACTTTACGCGCTTCGCCAACTTGATCTACAACAACACGCAAGCCGAGACGTGGTACAAAGACCACATCAAAACCGTCATGAGCCGACGCAACACCATTACCGGGCGTTTATACACCGAAGATCCAACCATCATGACCTGGCAACTCGCCAACGAACCCCAGCCGAGTGATGAACTGGGGTACACCGGCCCGTACAACATCTTCCTGGAGCCGAATCCCGACGACCTGCTCTTCCCCTGGGTCGACCGCATATCAGCCTACATCCGGTCTCTAGGCCCCAAGCAGCTCATCAGCGTGGGTCTCGAAGCCAAGCAAGGCGAGTACTACTTCAAGCGGGTCAACAACTTTTCCACAGTTGACTACGCCACGACGCACTGCTGGGTGCAGAACTGGGGCGTGTACGACATGTACAACGCCACCGACGCCAATCTCGTCGCTGCACAAGACTTTGCGCGTGACTTTATGAAGAATTCGAGCCAGTGGGCCAAGGACATTGGCAAACCGGTTTTCCTCGAGGAATTCGGCATGGCGAGGGATAATTGGGAGAATGAGGATAGAGAGTATCCGTATCTGTCGACGGCTTCGACGACGCATAAAGATGCTTACTTTACTACCATTATTGGCGCCGTCATGGACGAGTTTCGTAATGGCGGCGCGTACATTGGTACCTCACCATGGGCTTACGGCGGTATCTGGAGACCCGAGACGCAGCTTGCGAATGAGTTTGGGATGGTGTGGGCGGGCGACCCACCGCATGAGAGTCCTGGGTGGTATGATTTGTACGATGACGATCATGCCATGGAGATTGTGAGTGCGCAGCAGAAGATGATCAAGATGTGGATTGAGAAGCAAGGAAAGAACCAGACGGGTTATTAGCTAGATTTAGCAAGTAAAGAAGAGTTAATTCTTCTTGCCAAAGTATCAAGTCTTATCGATTGAGCTGAGTGGGTGGACGTCTCCCTCGTCTCTGGCGCATATCGTCTCCTTTTCAAGCCCGAAGAGATCATGTTCCTCGTAACGCACGTGGTACCACAACTCAGATGAATGATATACTGCTATGCTGCCATGTAAACCTATGACATTTCCTTTGTTATCATACATCAACCCCTCTCTTACAAGAATCTGGTTGGCGAACTCTTCTTCAACACCAACGGATGCCTATGCACACTAGGCATAAGCCCCAACCCAACCGCCCTCCGTATCGCCTTAGCAATCTTCCTCTGATTCTTAGGCCGTAAGCCCGTATCCTTTGAATGCTTTATCCGGCCCATCTCCGTCATGTACTCGGACATCATGGTAAAGTTCTTGTACTCCAAGACGGGATTGATGCCCAATACATCAAAAGCATCTTGCTGCGGCTTCTTGCGCCCGTACTTCCACTTCTTCTGCTCGGTCCCGCTAAGGTCGTGTGGCGCGTACACGTCGCCGGGCTGCCATTTGCGGTATATCTGGCGCTGGTACTGGGCTATGCGTTCGGATTCGGCAAGCTCGCGCGAGGGCGTGGTGCTGTCGAGACCGGCGCCGCGGGCGAAGCGCGACAAGGCGGAGGTGGGAGGGGGCGTGGACGGGGACTTGGATGGGGACTTGGATGGGGAACTCGAAGGGAATGGAGCACCGGTGTTGGAAGGGTGGCGGCCGGCGGTGGAGGTTTTGAGGATGTCGAGGACGTCTTCTGTGGGTGGTGTTAGATTCATGTCTGTGTGTGTGTGTGTGGAATGGAGGGATTGTCGGCTCACCTTGCTTCTTCGAGGCTGAAGAGAAGTAGCGCATGCAGGTCCTGCCTGCCGAGGGTAGGGGCCGAAGTGGTAATCGCATGACGGACATGTTGGCAGGTGGTGTGTCGCCGTTGTCGTCGTCGTGGTGACTTTTCGGGATGCGATGCGGAGCGGCCTCGGTGGTCGGAGGTTGGACTTTCTTAGCGCCATATGATTTCACGGCAGAGAAGAGCTTCCCGCAATGCTCCCCTCACTTGCACCTTCACCCCGCGCTCTATTTCCGTCTCGTCTTCTTCGTGTAGATACTGTTCCTCCGCCCATGGATACCCTGTTCGTGTAGATACAATCTTCCTCGGTGCGCCAATTGCACCCAAACAACTACGTCACTACACTTTTTGTCCACCACTTGGCCAACTTCGCCGCCATGCCCTCGCACCTGACCCGCGTCGTTTTCCGCAACATCATCGCCAACGAGCCGCTGCTATACCGAGGATGTCGCTACCGAGCCCTTCGACCCCGCGTGGTTACACAGCACGGCGCCCGCTCGCTCCCACAAACCCAGCGGCGGACCTTCTTTGGAGATTTGTTCAAACAGCGTCGGAAGCTCAAGCCCGCAGAGGCTCCGCCCGGACTGAGCAAGATGGCCGAGGTGTCATATGCGCAGGCGAATTCCGTCAGGCCGCCGAAACCGAGCGAGGTCGCGGATGCAATCAAAGACTTCTTTGCGCAGAGAAAAGGCGCCTTCGAGGACTGGCACGTAGCGAGCGCACATCAAGCCTTTCAATATCTGCTGGGAAATCCAAGAGAAGACGGGCAGCCGTGGTTGAATAGGCAGGATCTTGAGAATGTCATGGAGAAACTGCTGGACACTTCAAAGCGGCCTGAAGTTTTGGGCAATGCGCACATTATGTTCGGCCGGCTTGTCGTTGATCAAATGGCCAAGTTGATGGAGCAGCAGTCAGACAAGGGGGCGGATGAGAAGAAGAAGAAAGTGGAACACATGGGCATCCCACTCGACATGTACACCAAGTGGAAACAGATCCAAGTGCTGTCTTTGTTCGGCGCGACTACCGAAGCGAGAGACATGGCGGTGCACGCGTTCAAATACGACGCAACTGCAAGTTCTCGGATACGTCATACCATACTGGCTGCCTGGCACACCATACTTGGTGGAGTCATCCGCGAGGGCGATTTGAACGAGGTATCCAAGACTGTGGATGCTTTCAAAGAAGCCTCGATGCCCTTGACCAAACCCGCTCAAAACAAACTTGTGACATTCTACGCTGAGCGTAGAGACCTGGACAAGGCCAAGTTCTGGTATGCCCAGCCTGTTTACACCAAGCTCAACCAGGAGCCTACGCAGCCATTGGGGAGCACCAGCTCTGCACTGCTCAAGGCTTGTGCCGCAGAGGGCGATTTGACCTTTGGTCAGCAGGTAATCGCAACTATGCTCAAAGATGACATGCCATCCAAAGATTCATGGGACGCAATCTTTCTCTGGTCCGTCGCTATCGGCAAAGGCCCAGACGAAATCGCACGCATGATGGATGTTCTAGTACGCCGGAATGACGAAGCACGGCGCAAGGACCCGACCACCCCCGTGATACGGCCAGACACTACAACTATCAATGCCTTGGTAGAGCATTGCATGTCGAAACAAGACCCGTACATGGCCGAGCGCTACATTGTCTTAGGAGAAAAGCGCGGGATCCACCCCGACGAGACCACCTATATGATGCAGATGCAATACCGCATCTCCGTTGGAGACCTCGATGGGGCTAGGGCTGCCTACTTCAACCTACAAGGCTTCTTTTCTGGTGACAAGCGCAGTGTTGCAGTCATCAACGAACTCATCCGCGTCCTCTGCGTATCGAAACAACATCACTTTGATGAGCTCATGGCCATGGTCGACGACCTTCATGAGCGCAAAGCCAACTTTGAACCAGAGACTGTCGCAGCACTTACCCTTCTTCATCTCCGGAGAGGGGAAATCCATGACGCCATGGACCTCCTCCAAGTGCACGCACACCAGTACTCCCCCGAACAGCGGACAACCATCCAAGACGCGCTTTGCGTCTTCATCCACGACGGCGAAACCAGCACAGCAGATGCCTGGGACGGATACCAAATCCTACGCAACGTCTTCCCCGAAACACCCCGAGAAGTCCGCATTCCCATCATGAACGAATTCTTCAGTCGCAACCGTTCCGACATGGCATGCCACGTCTTCTTCCACATGCGCAACCACGTTTCCCCAACGCACACAGCAACCCGCGACGTCTACATTGCAGCCTTCACCGGCTTCGCGCGCTGCCAGGACGCCGAGTCGCTCGAACTCGCGCACAATCAACTCAAACTCGACCTCAATGTCGAAATGGATACGCAGCTGCGCAACGCCCTCATGCTGGCGTATGCGGCGACGGGCGAGAACCGGAAAGCACTCGGCTTTTGGCGCGAGATTTGCGAGTCGAGAGAAGGGCCGAGTTATAATAGTCTGGCGATTGCGTTTAGAGCGACCGAGGGGACGCACGCTGGAGGTGAGCATGCGAGGGCGATTTGGAAGAGGCTGAGGGAGCAGGATGTTGAGATTGATAAGAGGATTTGGACGGCGTATTTGTGTGCTGTGGCGAGGAATCATAATCATGATGAGGCGTTGCAGTTGGTTGAGAGTGTGGAGGAGGATTGGGGCTGGAGACCAGATTTGGATATGTGAGTTCTTTGTTTTTTTTCTCTGTCCCCTTCTTCTCACCCCAACTGCGTTTTTCTTGGGATGGTTCAGAGAATAAGTTTTTTTTGCTAACGAACGACAAAATTAGTCTGGGTGGCTGGTTTAATTGCACGGCGAATATCGAGAGGCAGCGCAGGGTCGAGGAGTGGATCAAGAAGAGGTATCCTGAGGTGTGGGCTGAGATGGAGGCCCTGGGCCATTGGGTCACTATGGATGGATTTGGCTATCGGCAGTATAATATTAATCGGGATCTTGATCCGTAGAAGGGAGACAATGGGTGGGGTTTGGTGGACTGGGGAGGCGGAGAGGAGAATGGTGGACGCTTCTCTCTCTCTCTCTCCTGTCTCCTCTGCTGATTCCCCTGAGCCTTGTAGCGCAGAGGTGTTATATATAGCATTTGGCATCTCGTAGACGCAGGCTGTGTTTGAATATAGGAGGGGAAGGAGGGAAATCAGTTGGTCGTCCTTTCTTCCATTACTTCGGTGATGCTGGGTGTCTCTTGTCTGTCTCCTGTCTGCTGCTTCCCTTTTCACGTCACTCGTTTGGAGCTCGATTTGTTGCGTGCATTCACAAGGTATGTTCCTGTTGCGATGCCGCGAACCATTGGCAGTGCTTCAACGCAGGCTACTAGTATGAAGTTGAGAGTGGCTTGTCGGTCATGGGTCATCGCAATACCATGGTTGAATGGATGGGTCTACCTGGCCATCTCGCATTCTTTTCGCGCTGTCCCTCTTACTCTTCACTCGCATCTTGTTTCCCCTACTGGTCGAAGCTCCGTTTGTCACTCACATGGTAAGGGCGCGCCTATCTACCGCCCTCTTTGGCCTCGCTGTCGCTCTATATCAATTTCCTCGTTTTCCTCTCCTACTTCTTTCTCTTCCACCTACTCTCTCTACTCTACTTCTTTTCTCAACTTGGCTGTCGAAGCCACTACCAAGACTATTCGGTAGCTCTAGAGCTGCTACTATAGCTGACTCAGTCCATCGCTGTTTCGGTCGGTCCAGCGACTGATTGGACAACGTAAGTGACTTGTTCGTCCGCAATAAGCTACAGAACCGTTAGAAAAAAACCCCGCAGTAGTGATCATGCGAGTCCATAATCTCCTCGCTAGTTTGCTCGGCCTCGCCGGTCTTGCCATCGCTGCGCCCACACCACAGTCCTCTGCCATCCAGCTCGCCCGCGACGTCTTTCAACCCACAGTCGAGTCCGAGCTTGTGCCTGGAGCGCCCCCTCAATGTAGTACCTTGGATCCCGAAAAATGGCTTATTCATGTCTGCGGCCACCACATCATCACCAACCTTCTGGGCGTCAACTTGCTGAACCATTGTACGGCCCTTAGTCGCGCTGTTGCACATGAAGTCACTGATACGTCTCAATCAGACGGCATTATCTGCTATTTCTACGATGGCAGTAATCACTGTAACAGCGAGCATATGATCTCGACCATTAACCGCCATACCGAGATCCCTGCCCCGTTCGGTAAGCGGGCTGGGTTTGTAATGTGCAGGAGAAGACAGATAGGAGATGTTGCTGAGATTGAGGCCAGAGGGGAGGATGACTCCTCTCCTGACCTTGGCTCTTTCGTTCAGCCCGACGAAAGCCGAGCACTCGTCTCTCCAGTCTCCAACTGCATCACACCCGACTCCAGGAACCACTTTTTGAACATCTGCACCGAGGATTCCTACGGCAACGCTTTTCCAAACAGGTGGATAGATACGTGTGTGCAGCTTTCTCCAAATGTTGCGCATCATGTCACGATCATCGTTCAGAAGGTGGGATTGATGTGCAAGTTCTACGACGACAGCAACGGGTGCAGCGGCAATGTACGGTATATCACCAGGACCAAGGATAAGCCCCATAGGTTTGAGCCACCCGCAGAGTTTGGGAATGACCTCAAGTACGCGTTGTGTCGAAGGGGCGAGTGGAAGAGGGATGCTGTCGAGCTTGAGCTTGAGACCCACGACGAAGATGTGACTCTCGATATGACCATTGATCAGTCTACCAGGACGGATACCAATGAAGTCACCACCTCCACCAAGACGCAGTATCTCCTTGCGAGGATCTCCAGCGACATTACCAGTAGCGAGCTCAAGGAGAACTCCATGTACATCTGTACCAAGCTCAGTGATCGCGTCGGCCGTCGCGTCACACATACGACCCAGCATAACTTTGTTGCCTGCCAATTCTTCGCATTGAACTGCGATGGCGCTCCTCTCCTCACCCTTAAATCCAATATGCTCGGATATCTTGATCAGGCCATCTAATCTGACATTGGCAGCCAAATCACACATGTCAAGTGTGGAATTTATGGCTTTCCTCACGTCAGTGCACGAGACGAGGATACTTCCTCTGAAGTCGCCATTCCCACTGCCTCCAAAGCAGATCTGCCACTCATCGCCAAAATCACCAGTAGCACTACTAGCATGGATATTGATGAGGGACTTGCTGACCGTTGTAAAAAGCTCAACAACCACGTGGCTCACGATGTAAAATACACTTCTCTACGACACGACATCATCTGCGTCTTTTACGAGAACAACGGCTGCAGAGCTGGTCGCAAGCCTCTTGTCGCTATCAGGCCCAAGGACGCGGCTTACTCAGACGAACCGATGGCGTCGGACCTTGGCAAGAAGATGACACACGTCAAGTGTGGTATCTGGAACATGCCTGATGAGACGGAGATGCCTCACGGCTCTGTTGACATGTATGCGCGCGATGAAGATGCGTTCGCCGCCGCCGACATTATATACGCCACAGACCCAGATACTGCCGACGATTCGGCCGTCACCGACGTCGTGTACGCCACGCACATGTACGCAGATACTCGGGTCTCATCTATCGAGGAAAGCGCTCTGGGTCAATGCTACCGGCTTCCCAACGAAACGATCAAGCAAGTTACTTGGATCGAGCAGCCGCAAGGCTACGTCTGCGGCTACTACCAGCGCGACTGCCAGGATGGCAATGTTTTGCGCACCCTTGATACTCGGAAGGCGAGGTGGTCGTACCCGACTGAGCCGGAGGTAGGCATGCAGATTGAGTACGCAATGTGCAAGCAGTCTTTTGACAAGCGCGATGGTCCTGTGATGAGCGAGGGCACGGTTGTGAACTCGCCGTTGTCCGTTGGGGCTTCGTCGTCAGTCACTCTAGATTTGCAAATTCTTAAACCTCCTGCTCTCGAACGGGTTCAGCTTCGCATCGGCGAGGATCTAGGCAATGCACACATTCGCAAGGTGGTCAGCGCATTGAACGGCTGCGTCGACTTTCCTACACCCATGTACTCCGATTCAATCCACTCCCTCGAGCAGTCCGGCCGCTCTGAATGCTCATTCTATAGCAAGCCCGCGTGTCCTGGTGCTCCCGTCCTCCATACCCTGAATCCAGAGGAGAAAGACCTGAAACAGCCTACCGAACTTGCGCAGCAAATCAACTCAGCACAGTGTGCCGTCTTGGAGTCACTCGAGATCCCACCCGCGAGCATTCAGACCCGTAGTGAACTTCTCCCCCAAGTCAAAGCAAATGACATTCAAGTGACCGTTGGCCACTCCGTCTCAGCACTGAGCACCTCATCTCTCAAAGTCGCCGACCTGTATATCTGCAACGAGGCCAATCTTGACCCTGCACACTGCACCATTCTACACACTCTCAACCAATGTATAGCCTTCCCAGGACCTTTTGCCTACCAAACCAAGGTCATCACGCAAGCCAAGGGCTCACTCTGCAAATACTACACCAAGCCCGGCTGCATGGACGGCGACTTATACTTTAGCTATATGTCGAACTCAACCCAAGATGCACGGCTCATCGGATGGGGTGTAGAGAAACTAGCCGGAGTATGGTGTGGCGGCACCGGTGCTACCTCGACGGCCGACATAAGCGCAGTCAACACACGCACCTCCATCGGTTCCTCCACTATCGGTCCCTCCAACCTGGCGAAGCGCGGTAACCCCCTTTATCACTGGTCCACCTCCCCTGGCTTCACATCCATCTGCCGCCAACGCAACTTCGCCTTCTGCACCAACAACGCCGTCAACGCGCTGTACCAATGCGTCAGCTTTGCTCCTGCAGACCAGGGCCCGGCATCCATGATCCAGTATGCTGGCGTGTATTGTAAATGGTATGCTGATTCTGGATGCGCGAGTGGGGAGCATAAGCCGTACGATTTCCTTGATTCGCGCAAGGGGGATGCTTATGCGGATGGACTTTCTAGGCTCTATCGGAGCGTCAAGTGTGAAAAGGATGCCTGGTAGACGGGTATCGAGAGCTCCCGAGCGACTTTTGGAAGTGGTTTGGTCACTGTATGGATGAGGGTTAGTTGAATGGGCCCGCCATTTCATTGTGCTCTGGTGGGCGACATGGTGGCCTTTCTAGCTTCTTTAGGTACACAATGAATCTCTTAGTAAGGAACGGATTGACTGTGCTCTACTCTTTCTGTTGTGAGGATTAATTCGCCTACACACTATTTGTTCTCCTCATTGCTCCTTCATGATGTTGGAAGGCTTGAGGGTGGATTAGTGGATGAGAGAGTCAAAGGAGGGATGTGAGTGAAAAGCGGAAGGGAGAAGGAAGGAAAGCTGTAGCACTAGCAACACACGGAAGCAAAATATGACGAGAGATACCACGCTGCTGGTAATATCTGTGCATATCGTAGAGCTAACAGTCTTCGTACAAGGCATTTCTAAACCCCGCTATAAGTCCGCAAGGCAGTGACGTCACCACTCACGCTCTCCTAAACAGCCCTTGTGTATTGGAGCTGCATCGATGATAATATGCGATCAACAATAAAACATCTGATCGTGCAGGATCCGGCGCTAACCTACGCATCGCCAAGTTGTAGTCTGGGGTCAAGCCTTAATCATTCGGCACATTCGCCTCCTTCACATAGTACCCTGTCGTTCCTTCATATGAAACACTTGACTTGAAACAGTGATAACGCTTCAGAGCCATTGTAACCCCTACCAATCACGCATGTACCGGTATGTGCGGGATCGACGCGGGTGCGCGCATCAACACGGTGCTTATCCCTGCAAAGCTGACCGGAACCGGGACGATCTTTTCATTACCGCATGGTTGCCTAGGCATGTCATCTCTACCTACATGACTATTCACACATATGACCACCATTAACCCACCATATTTGCTCTAGCAATCACCAAGGAAACATCGTCGCTATCAGCGGGTAGAATTGAGACCCAAGAAGGCCGTGGTAGCGACTCCTCTTCCGCTTTAGGCGACAGTGGATAGCGCAAACACTTGTCACGACCAGAATAACATCTTGACAAATTTCCAGGGTTGTTTCCGTCCTTGTGGTCTTCACAATCACACTCTACCAGTCTCAGTACTGATTTTATCCAACAGTCGATCCTGCTCCAACTTGCGCTGAACATGGAACCTGCCACTCAGACACCTGGGGACGTCAAAGTCGTCCCTACTACACCACATGTCAAAGCGACTCAGACCATCGATGCAGAGCATACGCCGCCAACGCCTTCCAAGCCAAAAACAAAGGAAATCATACCCATACTGAATTACGAAACAACAGATTTCACAATCATCTGCGAGGGCCAGCGATTCGCAACGCACAAAGGCGTTCTCAAAGCCTCATCACCATACTTTGCGCGCATGTTTCGTTTCCACGGCAGCGTACATATGATCAACCGAATCGACGGCTGAACAATGCTAACCCAATCCCAGGAGAGCAACGACAAGGAAGTAGAAATTCCCGACGTCGACGCCATCACCATGAAGCATGTCCTTGACTTTATGTATACATCAACCTACCAGTTTCCCGAAGGCACACCAATACCATCGACAGACTACTGCAACCACAGTACCTTTGCTCTCTTGCACGGTCCTGATAAAGGCCCGCAGATCTTCAAGCGCAAATGTCCTTGTGCTGGCAAGTCGCTGTCCGCATCTCATCTTCTCCTTCACGTGCATGTCTACACCGTCGCCGACTACTTCGACATGGACGATCTGAAGATCTACGCACGACAGGGGGTGGCAGACATTCTGCATGTGTATTGGCAGTGCAAAGGCTTGGATCTAGCTGATGCGTTGGAAGAGGCTTTCACGTCTACGCCGGACGACGACACAGGAATTAGGGATGTGCTTGTAGATGCGATGAAGGAGCATCCAGGACTGGTAGTTGATGAGGGTGATGTGGAGGATTGGTTGGAGGAGCATCCTGAAGTGCGTGAGAGGGTCCACTGGGATGACTACATGAAACCGCTCAAGCGGGGGGGAGAAAACGTAGACGAGAAGGCAGTTGAATCCGCGTGGGCGATGCGTCGAACGCGTTTCGGGATTAGCGTTCCATCACCTGACTGATGACGGAATGATTTCCATGCAGATCTCCACCAACCAGATATCCATATTGCGAGTTTCTCTTTCTCGCTCATATCCCTGAACTTTCCGCGCGTTTCGCATGTGAGAAGGCTGGGCATGAGTTTGGTCTCGAGTACGAAAGCGATAGGATGGATTATCCAATCGATGAATCTCCGTATCATTGACGACTGGCCAGGTCATTCCAGTCGTTACATCACACAAGGCTAATGGCATCACCAGATTACGAACCGAGGCCTAGTTCACGATACCCAGGCGCAGTTTGACAGCGAATGGATTAAGAATATCATTGCACACGTATTGTGTCCTTACAAATACGACTCACTGACCATCATGTTAAAGAGCGCCAGCTAGGGTCGCGCTGGCTACACAACTTCTCTCTGCGAACTATGCATCGCAGTCTTCTCACCGATATCCTCTTGCAGCTTGTCCTCTGGTGTGAATTCGAATACTAAAAAAACAAGTTAGTCATGGAGAAACCAGAGTAGTGAGGAAGGGGACACGGGAACTTACAATCGACGGTAGCAGTGCGGAACTTGCGGGCAGGCGTCTTCTTCTTGAAGAGGTAGTCGATCTCAGCAAAGGACCGGTCCTTGGTCTCAGGAAGGAAGAAGAAGATCCAGATCACCCAGAGCAAGCAGAAGCCAAAGTAGAACATGCCAGTCTTCGCACCCCAATTCCATGCGGTGGGATCGTTGTTGAGCATGCGGGGGTTGAGCTGCTGCACAGCAATCTGGCCACAGACGTAGAGGGAACGACCGATGACGATGGTCTGAGCACGAACACGGGACGCGGACATTTCACCCACGATGACATAGGTGGTCGGGCCGAGAGAGATCTTGAAAGCGATTTGGACGAAAATGAGGAAAACAGCGACGGGGATGGCAACTTCAGTGGTGGAATCCACGGCGAAACCCATGATGCCAACGACAAGCATGCAGAGGCCGATGGATGCAGAACCGAAGAGGTAGAAGGTACGGCGGCCAACCCGGCCCATTGCCCAGATAGCGATTGCGGTGGCGAAGATGTTGACTGACTGGATGCCCATGGTGTAGCTGAAGGCGTTGGGAGCACTCATACCAATAGCGCGGAGCATCTGTGCGGCATAGTTGGTGATGGACTGGCCGTTGAAGATCTGGATGATCCAGGCCATGGAGACAATGAACGTACGGCGCTTGTTCTCGCCGCGGAAACAGTCAGCATAGCTAGCGTTCTCGGCTTCCATTTTTTCCATCTCATTGGTGTGCTTCATGAGGGCAAGAGTCTCGCGCATCGATTGCTCGGTGTAGTGTCCTGGGCGGGCCAGACGGCGTAGACTCTTCTCGCATTCTTCAATCTTGCCACGGCGAATCAGGTACCATGGTGACTCGGGGGCGAACCACGCAACAAGGAAAAGAGGTGGAATCCACATCCACTGGAGACCGTAAGGGATCTTCCAGCCGGCGTCGCTTTCAATGGTGATAGTGCCTTTGAGCACACCCGCGGCCAAGAACGAGCCAGCACCCCAGCACATGGATACCCAGGCAGTAAGGTAGCCACGCATGGCGGTGGGAGCGATTTCAGCGGCGTAGGCGGTGGTAAGGGTTTGGAAGATACCCCATGGGATACCGCACAAGATGTTACCGACGAGAAGCATTTCTACACTTGTTGAGAAGAAGAGAATGAAAATGGTGGCTGCCATGAGGGCCATTGCGCCCTAAAGGAGAGAATGATTAGCGGATATCCAGATATTGTTGTCACGAAGAGACCTACCAAGTACACCCTGCGAGAACCGTAGCGAGACTGTAGGTAACCATTGACCAGGAGACCGAGGATGGATCCAACGTTGTTACCGGCGCCGATGATTGTTTGCCATTGTGTCGAGACAACCAAGTCGCCGTCGGCGTTGTAAGTGTTACCGAACCTCCGCTGGTAGGCGGGATGGGCAAAGAAGTTGTTGATGAGACCGACATCCATCCCCTCCATGACCAGAGCCATGGATAAAAGACAGGAATAGATGGCGGCAGGCCGGTAGCGCTTGAAAAGCTCCCCACGTGGCAGCTGAGTCTCTGCCTCAGAGGCGGAGACAGCAGCCTCGACGAGCTGCTGCTGCGTCGAGTGAACGCCCGCATCGAAAGAGTCTGGCCGTGGCACCGACTCCATCTTGGCGGGATCCTGCACCGTAGTCATTGCGATATCAGCCAAAGGGAACTGAGGCCGTGGTCCAGTCAACTACACCAGAGGCCTGATGCGATGCTTAGAAGATTCGCGGTGCGCGAGTCCACCAGGCGATGTTGGTGAGGAGGAAAGAAGGGAGAGGGAGAGTGCTGATCCGTACAAGGGGTGTGAGTATTAGGTTTCTATATGTTGCACCCTCGGCCACCACTGGCCCGAAATCTCTTGGGATTATACGAACAAGCAGGTAACATAGTCACGCCCAGCGAGGGCGAAGACAGCCACGAGACCGCCACGAGAGCCAAGATGCGGGGATGGCACCCCATGGGGTCGGTTGCGCCTAATGTGCAACTTGATTGGTGTACAAACTACGCCACACCTAGACGGGATTAGCAGCCAACCGAAAACCAAGCTGATAATTGAAGGAAATTCCGGAGATCCGGACACGAATGACCCCTAAAGGAAGGGAACCTAGGTTCTTCCTCTGTCTGTCATGTCAATAAAAGAGTGACTGTCTAGGTCGACAGCGCTGTCATTAGCTTGCTAGGCCGTGTGGTAGGCTAACGGAGATGCCGTGGCCGTGAACGTGGAAGAAGCCATACTGGCGCGCAGCACCGCAAACCTGAGCGACGACTCTGTCGTAGATTTCTCTCTTGTTGCTAAAGGTCCAGGTACTGAGATCGATAGTGTGGAGTTCTGAGCTAGCGTCAGATGGAGACATGGCGATATGCTCGTCTGCTCATTCTGGAAGAACCGGATCTGGGCGGCTATACATCAAATGATAGAGACATTCACAGATGCTGTATCATGCAAGATCAAGGGTTTGGTGCCAGCTATCAGGCCACCCTGGTTCGTGGGGTTCGAGACTCGGAGATTCTGCCTTGGCCTGCACGCTTACATCCGAATCACGACTCGTCAAGGACTGTATCCAGCAGAACGGGAACGTATCACTCCCACCTTTCGGATTCAGTTCGACCGGAGATACTGCACGAGGCGGCGACGTCGGCTTTCGCGGTTTAGTTGCGACGAGGTACTGGAAGCCATGGTGGATAGCCACTATGCTTGTCTGTTGCACAAGGCTCGGCGCCGCCGCTTGCGCGCTTGGCTGGCTTACGATATTCATGTGAGATGAGATTAGCGCGCAAGGATCTATCTAGCGAGGCGATTTGAAGATAATCATCACTCAGACACAGCGAGATAATGTGCAGCAAACCAACCTTGGCTTCGTCCGCTTCGCTGTCCTACACCCTGCTGGCCTTGACGTGCTCTCCAGTCGGCAGCAGCAAAGTCTGATTGGACTTTACTTGAACGTTGTGCAGCCAGAACCAGAGGGAAAAACGATTACTAAACAAGAGGACTTGGATCGCACTGCCAAAGTCACGGAGAAACCCTCGTCGCAGCTCCGTGAAATCTTCGAGCTGACCCAAGTCAGAGCACATTCGTGACGAACAGCACTTTGTCCGACAAACCAAGATGTATTGTCTCTCAAGAGTCGCGTGGTCCTGATGCACGATGCCGATAAGGAATACATATGATAAAAGCAGCTACTGCTAGAAAGACTAGTCAGATATCTATTTGAGCGCTTGCCGTCTAAAGGCCATTGCCCGCAAATTCCATTCGACATTCCGTTCTAAATTCACCTTTGACATATCGATTTTCGGTAAATTAACAGTAAACTTATCCTTGACTTCATTCGGCATTATAAGCGCGAGCATACAAGTACTGTAGCTGTACCTTATGTCGTTCAGTATTGTGGAATTCAGCTTGTAGCGGAAGCCACAAACATTTGCATATATTGTGAGCCTATCTGAGCAGGTCAGGCTGTCACATCTCTCCATCGACGTGAATAGTAACCAGTGCGCCAAAGGTCCTAACAGACCCTCATCGCAATAGAGATATTCCGCCGAAATTCGATGTACATCGTGAGCATCAAGCGGAGGAGCTGTCGGGGGAAATCTAGTTATCATGCACATATGGCGAAACGAGAAGCTGACATCGTTTCCAATCCAGTCTAAAGATGACTGCGCAGCCGCGTCGCTCTTGTTCCCAACTGGAGATAGCAATACGTATGCTGAAGCACAACGCTTTGCCTGGAATGTCCAGGCTCGTGTGAACCATCGGGCGGAAAGTATAGAGGACAAAATCCTGACAGAGTTTTCCTTGAAGTCATCTTAAAGCGGCAAGATAACAACACCATCCGGCCAATTCTCAAAGCGTGGCTTCGCTGGGTGTTCCTGATCGCCGTAGTGCGAATGTAGCACCAGAGCGCTGAGCATGGTGTCGGGGATTTCTGTCGACAAGACGGCAACGGTCCATTTACTTTTCTTGTATATCTTGTCCATGACCTGCAGGTGTCTTTGCTTGTCCTCTGCGTTTTCCTGGTATATGCACTCCTGATCGATCCAGATGTAGGGAATTTTGCGTGCTCGCACGAAACACCATGCACGGTGGAATACCATAGTGGGGCAGTTGATCGACCTGGAGGGCGCATCTGGAGTGGCCTGATCCTTGATGCGATAGTCTGGTATATGCGTTGATGCATCTATCACTTGCGAATGGGTCCAGGTGTACGAGACAGATACGTACTCTTGACCAGGTGGAAGTTCACCCGGCAGGGTAAGGGCATATTGGGAACAATTCTTATCTGTCGGCCAGTCTGTAGAGAATTGATAAGGTGTGATGAACCGTAGGTTCAGAGGCGCATCGTCATCCACGACTTCCACCAGAGCTTTTTCCAGAATGTCGTTACGCTGGAAATCAGGTTCTCTCTACTCCCATGGATCTCGCGGAGCGTACGATGTGAATCTCGTTCCATTCTTCGGTCTCTTACGTCCACAGGCCCAGAGAGGCAACTCGTGAGGCCTCCAGTGTAGTAAGCTTGTGCTGTTCTGATTCGGAGATCGCTTTCTGGCGTATCGAGGTTACGAAGTGGGGAAAGTGTCAGTGGTTCTTCGGGGTTTGGCGACGACGGGGTTGGGAATGACACCCGTCAACCATCTTGTGTGGGTCAAGCTGGAGAGTGACGAAAGACGGAAAAGCTGGTTGACAGTAGAAGTTGTAGTTGACTGACACCAGGCTGCATTGTGGCTGGGGCTATGCTAATGTGACGTAGGGATGCGTGAATCCAATAGCTAATCGCAGATGTTTGTCTCGACCGATCATACTCCGCATTGAGGCGCAATCAGTGCGCGGGAACTTTTAAATTAGTGCATTAAGGTTGCAGCCTGCACCTACGGTTGCATGGTCGCTTTATAGGGCTGTCAGTGTTGTTAGTCCCTAGATGCAGTACAAGCTGCGTTCTCACAACTCTAGTTTCTAGAGATACGTGTTAGCCTAAAACACTCATTTGTCTTGCGCATAGCATGCGGCGCTGTTCGTTCAGAGAAGAGCTGCTCGTCAAGGTGATCCCGCTACTATGGCGGTATGGCTTTTGTTGTTACGTCTTGCGGAACTTTGCTGTGAACCGAGTGTGATGCCGTATTAATTGTTTCGTCCGAACGAGTAGATTAGAATACGAGGCTGGACCACGACCTGCGATCACCAAGACAACTCCACCTCCTTACGCTGCCCCACTGTGCACTGCGATTCTTAGCGTGGACGAGCGACTGAGAAAATCACTTAGGCAGAATCGTCCACCAACGACCTCACGTGAGGGCGCGACAACGTTGCAAGCGCTGTATGGCTTCGGCGCGTAAAGCCGTCGCAATTGGCCGGGAGGCATGTGCGGAAAGTCAGGATCTGCTGCAGGGTGATGCGGCCCCAGAAGCAATAACAAGCGAGAGAGGAAAACAAGAATTGGCGGGTAGAGTACACGCGGTCCGGCCTATCCAATGTGCAAAGCAAGGTTGTTCCTGCGAGGTCAAGATGATGTCCAAGTTCAGGCGTTGCGCCTCCCGCGGAGCGTTGCGGATGGCTTTTATCGACATGGCGATGGGCAACTGGAAAGACAATGGTATTGATGGAAACAAGTTTTGATCAGTAATAGAGACGTGTTTGCGGGATGCGCCGGGTATGTCACGTCGTGATGTTGGGCGGGTGCGGGAAGTGGTGTTGAGGGTTCAGCCTCCTATTATTGGGCCCCAGCCCCCATATTGCGATGAATAATTGCATCATGGCGTCGTAGTCAACCAGCGCACCGCTGTGTCAAATCTCACGCAAGCGTGCCCTGCTTTCCCTTTTCCTCTCTTACCTTTGACCGGATTCTCGGCATCCTGCAATTGCATTTCCTGATCTATCCCCTCCCCTCAGCATTGTCTTGTGTTGTGTTGCCCGCCCACACAACATTGATCTGCCTCGCACCCCCACAACTAGCGCCGGCAGCTTCGGTCTCAGGCCAGGAACTGCTGTTCCCCCAGACGACGACCACCCAAACACGCCAGATCCTCAACACCACCGCCACCACCTCGCTGCCAGAGCGCGCATTCTCGCGGCCAGTGTCGCATAACCGACTGCCTTTGCCATGCCGGCCGTACGCGACCACTACAATGCCATTGCGAACATGGCGCCCCGACAGCCTGCTTTAGACGTCCCAGCCATTGTCTTCGCTGCGCCCAAGACAGCACCCATGGCCAAGCGACAGAACGTCATATACACCCAGCAAGGCATAATACCCACCTACTACAACACTTCCGGCCCGGAGCCCGGCACCGTCGTCGGCATAGTCCTAGGCAGCGTGGCCGGCTTCCTCCTCATCTGCTGGCTCATCCAGTCGCTGATGAACACCAACAACAGGACAGGCACGACGACGGCCATGGCGGGAGAGGAAGAGATTGTAGTGAAAAGGCGACGAAATTCACATGGCGGACGCAGCTCGCGACGCCGGTCTGAAGTGCGCGAAATTAGCAGGAGCCCGAGACGGAATAGTGGGCGGTCGCAGATTATCGTCGAGGAGAGGAGGCAGGCAGCGCCAAGAGCGAGGAGCATCATCGTTGAGGGGCGGAGTCGTGTGCCGGGTGATGATGTCGTCGAGGTCATTGAAGAACACGAGGACTACCGCGAGAGGAGAGGCACCCGCGGAGGCCGGGGATACCGGTAAGTCATGCGACGCTACTACATGAGGAGACAGAGGTACTGACATATTCAGGTGAGCAGAGACTAGTCGGTAGCCCTCCCATTGCGCCTCATTCCCCCGATCAAACTCGTCGCAACACACCCACATTCTTACGTGCGACCTCTCTCAGCCGTCGCACCATGGATACCCCCAGAATACCCCCTTGCTTCTACCGTACTCTGTTTTCTTGCACTGCATCTACTTGTTTCTCTTCTTCTCTGTACCATAATATGGCGTTTCCCTAGCACTTGGCGTTCGAGGGGCGGCACTGAAAACGACGACACCCAGTATGAAAGCGGAGGATTTGCAATGGTGACGGACATGCACCGCATGATGCGTTTGATGTAAAACGAGATGAGCCTCCAACCTTGTAACGTATGGGAAAATGATTGTAGTAATGCTCACTTGCAGGTATATAGTAAATTTATGATCCATGAGATCAAAGTAGTGATAGTAAATCGGGCCCAGCATTGACTTGCCACATGGTCTTCCTCACATCTACCCAATGTGCGTTCGTACACCTTGTCTGTCGCCGCGCTTCTTCCATCCTGTTTGCAAACGTCTTGTTGCAAGATGTGTAGCTTGTGCACTCTCTCGGCTTGACGAGCGTCTCGTCCCGGTAGCGCGCGGAACTTGCGCTGATAATTCCGCGCTCTACAAGGCTGTTTGTCACACGGCTGCTGTACCATCCGAGCGCATTACACACGATTCGTACTCGCTCTGTCAACCACGAGTATGCAATTCGGCACTACGAACACCGCTCTGCTTACCAACATCCCAAGCATGACCACGATACTCGGATACATAGTGTCGATATCGTACTCTCTGTTTGGGATATCACCGACTGAGGCAGCATCACCGCATCAACCCTCCATAACAACACCCTCATGTTCTCACGCATCGCACAATCTTTCAAAAAAGAGACGGCACCTCCCACCAGCAAGATCCATCGCTCTACCAGAAACATGAGCAGCAAGCCTAGTACGACGACAATGTTCCGCGGCCTACCCGTCATCCCGGACGAAACCTACACCACAAACACTCCACGCAAAATCTCCAAATCTTTCCTCGCCGCCGAAGTAGAAGAAGGTGTCGGAATGCGCGTACGCCGCGGAATCGGCCTAGCCAGATTACCTCACCTGAGCCCTTTTATCATGCTAGATCACTTCAACAGTACTTTTGGAAACGACATGGATGCCAGTGCACCCGACCATCCCCATCGCGTAAACAATACCGTCTCTTTTACCCTTGCACTTGCCTTGCCTCTTTTTCTTTCTTTTCCCCAAAGCCAACAAACATCGTCGTGTTGTTACTGCTAACAATCCATCACTTCCCAGGGCCAAGAAACAATCTCCTACATCATTTCCGGCGGCGTCGACCACGAAGACTTCGCGGGTAACAGAGGCACGCTCGAGGCTGGAGACTTGCAATTCATGACTGCGGGGAGGGGCATCATGCACAGCGAAATACCCATCCACAACGGAAACGGAGAACCCAATGTTGGAATGCAGTTGTGGGTTGATTTGCCTAAAGAATTAAAGTACTGCGAGCCGAGGTATCGAGATCTCAAGGCCAAGGAGATTCCTGAAGCGGTGGAAGATGGCGGGAGGTAAGTTTCTCTTCGCAACATTCTGTCGAGAAGGAAGGAGAGAGAGAGACGTGCAATACTGACGAGGTGCCCGTTTTTCCCCCGTCTCTACAGAGTCCATGTAAAAGTTATAAGTGGCCTAGCATTCGGTGTCGAAAGCAAAAAGGAACTCTCCTACACACCAGTTTGGTACCTGCACTTCACCGTGCAACCAGGCGGTTCCCTGCACCAGTCCTTACCGCGGACTTGGAACGCCTTTGCCTATGTTCTCGAGGGCGCTATCCAAGTCTCCAACGGCAGCGACGCCGAAGCTCCGTCGCGATCAATCGGACAGTTCCACATGGCCGTCTTTGAACAAGAGGGGGACAGCGTATCCATTAGCGTCAGCGCGGATGCAAAAGAGGCTGCAAACTTCATCCTGGTTGCGGGGCTGCCACTGGACCAGCCAATTGTTCAGTACGGCCCGTTTGTGGTTACGAGTAGGGAGGAGGTGCAGCAGGCGGTGAGTGATTTCCGGAGGGGCGAGAATGGGTTTGAGAGGGCGGTGGGTTGGGTGAGCGAGAATAGTAAGTCGAGGAGGAATTCGGTCGTGGTGTGAAGGATGTTTGGTTCTTGGTGTTGTGGAAGAAGTAGTGGCCGTATATATATTGGTATTGGTTCAGGAAATGGCCCGAGAGTCTGTGGGCAGAAGTGTCATTTTTTCGTATGTGGTAGAGCCCTACGTGGTGGGGGTGATTGAACAGATTATGCTGGTTTCAATTGTCCGAGTATCTCACTCGTAGTTGTAACTATGAGTCTTGGACGCATGAAAAGCTTGTTTTGACTGAAGTGATACCCCAACTGGCAAACTTCTCGAAAAAACATACAGTGAAATTCGTGCTGTTATACCCTCAAGGTATCTTCTCACAAGTCGCCACACTCAGTTTCAATGGACAATCTTCGACCCCGAGCCCGCCTCGTTCCCTATTCCACCGTCCTACATGACCTAGAAATCAGCCTCAACAAAAGCCCGCAACGCCATTAACCCCCTTCCCATCAGTAAAACTTCACCGCCGGCGACGCAACAAACCTTCCTCCAATCCCCGGATCTACCAACATGTCAGCACACCACTCAACCACAGTCTCACAAATGTGAAAAAAACATACCAGTACCATTCATCCCACACCCATCAACAAAACACGCACTCGCCGTGTGAATATACCGAATCCTACCCCCCTCCACCCGAAACATATGACTATCCGGCGCACCCTCAGTATTCCTTGTCCGATCCAACCCCGTAAACCCCATAAAGACATCCACAACACCCATCACCTCATCAACAACATACTTTCGGTTCGTCATGGGGACATGTGCCGGCACCTGATCGCACGTGTTTGCCGACAGGTTTTTGTAACCCGTATACGCACCGCCTTCGAGACGGGTGCAAGGTACACCCCAGGGGACTGCCACGGTAATGTCGTTGCAGCGGTCTGCATATGCTTCCCCCGCCGCTTTGACCACCTTGTATGTGTCGCGTGCGGCTTCCGGGATAGGAAGCCAGGATTCTTGGCTGTTCCAGTATAGGTAGCCCGTTGCGTTGAAGGCCCAGTCGCCTTGGTCGGTGACGATGCTGTCGATGAGGTTCACGTTGCCTTCGATATCTAGGGTCATCTGGGTGTGAATGACGTATGGATGTGTGGGGTTGGTGATGATGAGCTCCGTCATGGTCTTGCATTGCGTTGTGTCGAGGATGGAGCGGTGGAAGTCAATGGTCAGTCCGAGAGCTGGTACGCCGCCGAGGATCGAGGCCGTCTGGTTGTTCTCAAAGTACTCCATTGAGTAGGCGAGGTTCTCGAATCGGTCGTGCTGGCCTGTTGCCATTAGGTCGACGTACGAGTCTGCTGTACTTTGAAGATGTTCGCGTGTGCACTCAAAGGCCATCGCAGAGGGGGCCATGGTCGCAAGAGCGAGAATTAGGAAGGCCATGTTGGTTGGAATGATTGCACTGCCGACTACAAGTTAGGAGTAAACCGTGGCCAGGGTTCTCTCGCTCCTTTAAGCCTCCTGAGGTCCAGGATTTTCATAGGATATTCATCCGGGTCTGCGAAAGAGGTTTCTGCGTTCCTGGACACCTTGGACGAATGGTAGCATTTGGAGTGCTGCTGGTAATCTGATAACATCAAGTCTACCTCTTAACCATATTGACAATGACTGTGGGGCATCGCGGCATTAAACACCCATCTCCCGATTCCACGCAACCCCACACGGCCGTTATTGACGTACTCTGCGATGTCGTACAAACAATCAAAGCTCTTGCTGTCTGACGTACGGTAAATGCCCGCAGTTCCTCAATTGGCAGGCGATCCACGATGCCTCACAGACGTTGATGCAATGATCTTCATCCCAGTCGTCTAGGTAATCCCACATTGTGTTCATAGAATGAGCCTGCATGTGATCAATATTCCTTGTGTTTAGACTGCCTCGTGACCAGGAGAGACGTACTATGTCTTGTGGTGACGGTTTCCGCAGTACATCGTCGTCGCTGACCTCTTCGGCGCCGCCTTCGTCGCTGACCTCCTGGGGATGCGATAGCTTCGAAAGCTGTTGCTGATCTTGCCGCAATAGAGCGAACGCGTAGTAAACGCTATAAATCAGTAAGGAGGAGAGTGAGAGTACCAGCAGGATATGCGCAACTCGGAGTATCGCCTTCATCGCGGGCCACTGTCGATTAGCGATGTTGGCGCTGTTGGACTAATGCGTTTTGTGCCAGGTGGAATGGCTGGTGGGGTGCGCTAATGCGCCACAGTAGCGCGTTTTTCATGTTCAGCCCAGGGTAGGTCGTCCACTCGGGTAGCCGCTTTGTTCAAACAATCCGCATCTTGATTTTGGGGCATTTAGAAAAGCTTTGCTCATGCTGTTCCTTAGGTACTGATTCTAAGAGCGCGCGACGTGATTGTTGCCACCCAACAAGCTCGTATTCTTGAGTCGTCTCGGGCTTGAGACGCAGGATTATCCATATTTCGGAATCTGTCAGCTCTTCTAAGCACGAGCAAAGTATATCACCAGAGAGTGCCTTGTTAGATTGGATCCGAAGCTGTAGAGGACTAGGCCGAATGACCTCCGAGATCTCATCTGATGGCTCACGTGAGCTGCAGACTTGCCAAAAGTCATCATCCCACACGGCGTGGAAGCCATGTGTTCCCCAACGGGGATCAATTTCGACATTGAACTCTTCGTGCGTCCGTAAGACCCCTAGGCAGCGAACATCGCAGACTAAAGAGTTCCCTTGAGATATCTGTATACCCATAGGAGGTTTGCGTCCTCCATAACTAAAATCTACCAGGCGTGGATCCGGAACCCACGATGGCATTTGCAACCGATGCGGATCGTTCCGGGTTTCTGGAGCACAAACGAACACCCATATCCATTCGCCATTGTCCAGCATAGTCTCGGCAAATTGCTGAAAGACTTGTTCAACCGTCAACGAGTAATCAATGCGGATTTTGAGTTTGGCCATGCTTGCCAATGCATAATACATGTCTTTGGGTTCAGAGCACTCTGATGAGTGAAAGTCGTTCAACAACGAATCCCATGATTTTTTTTTCTTGATGGCGTGGTTTTGGGAGTTGCACAATTCTGAGAGCCCGTTTGTTCGGGTTCTGAAGGGGGAAGCCCTCGCGGCAGTTCTAGCAAGATCCGGTGATGTTTCCTTAACCCCATACCCAACTAGCCAGATTGCCTGAACAAGGTCCTCGATCCATTTTCCGGGAAATGTTGAGATATCCAGAAAGTGCTGGCCCCAGTACCAGTGATGTGTATTCGAAAGAGACAGTTCCTGAAGTATCCATCGGCGCTTCCAGTACCGCCTAGAGAAGAATCTCATTGCCATATTGGTCCTATCTACAGCGGTTTGCTCAAGGGAGTGGTCGGATCCAAAAGACTCTTTCAACCAGTCGACATGCGCGTCATGGTCACTGACATGACCATCGCCGAACTCCCTATGCTGGTATGCTACCTCGCAGCCAGAACAGAGCAAGGTATCCTTGCCAAGGAGAGGAAGAACGAAGCAGTTTTGATGTATCGAATTTGGTTCCTTCCACGGCTCTACCTGTTCCGTGCGCTGCTTGATACGGTCGAATAAACCTAGCATAGCTAGATCTTCCTTCTCATCAGTACCATTTCCAAGCCAGACAAGGACCTTCTCGGCTCCAGCGTAAATATCTGCCATCATAGCGACCTGGACAGACCTCTCAGCATTCTTTTCCTGATCGATGCAAACAGCGTCGATCCAGATACGTATATCTTTATCACGGACTCTTATTCTTCTTAATCCCTCGGATAGATTCCTAGTAATCGACTGCTGAATACCGTCAATGAAGATCTCCCAATTCTGTGAATAGTCGCCGTCTTCGTCCATGGCCCAGCTGTAAGATAGAGCATCGTATGAGGCTTTTTTAAGCTCTGTTGCCTCGATCGTACATTCGATGGGGTCTGTATACTGTGCGGCAGGATAAAGCGTTAAGATCCGGATGGATCGAGCACTTGGTAATGGTTCGTACTTGTAGACCATGCTGACGAAGATTCAATCTCTCAGAATCTAGATGGTCTCAAAGATGGTGTATTCTTGTCTTGTGAGACCGCCCAAGATATGAGTGGGACTATGTGAGGCTTATGGTTTTCTAGGACTGTGAGGTGGTAGAGAGAACGTATGGCGAAATCACGTCCTGAGCCAACTTATGAACGTGGAAGATGCTATAGATATAGGTATCGTGCTGGTAAGGGTGTTTCAGTACTGGTTGACTACCACGTAGACAGGTCCGGTGAACACCGTCATAAGGCTTTCAGCCTCAGCTGAAAATAGCTGACTGCCACTTAGACAGTTCTGGCAGATACCTTCATAAGACTTTCAGCCTCAGCTGAGAACCTGCACCTGGATACTCTTGAACCCAGGCGAGCCAATCATCCAATGATTACCCGTAGTTAGGAAGGTTAGTTATGTCGGTGAACACTCCTGGAGTGTTCCCTATAATACCAGAATCATATCGATGTCGACGTAATCTGTCGAAGTTTGAGACTCGGTCATTGCATAGATATGTTCTCGTTAGACAGCACTCGTTCACGAGTAACGACCTTTCCCAATGTCGATACATAGCTTTCCTCCGCCTCCACTCATAGTCATGAGCTCGGAAACCGCAGCCGTCTAGCGCATTATTGCTTTTAGCTGCTAGGTCTCCTAAGATTACCCTGCGTTTAAACCTCTAGGCTTCTGCTTCTCATTTTCTTATTGCTTCTTATTGATCCCTAACGTATTCTCCAAGCCAGTGATGCACCTAAGAAAGTAACGCACTTTTATAAGAACACTACTGAAACTACTACTGCAGCTGTTTATCGCGCATGGAAACGAGCACAGCCCACTTGTTGCAGTCGTTCCTTCCTCCACCACTCTGGTCTCTTTATCATCACGTAAACAGCGAACACGTGGCTAACTCGTCGCACGTCCAGCCCCCGAACATGCCTCCGCAAAACGTCGCAATTGCGATCGCACCATGATTTTCGACTTTGCTATACACGCGTCTCATTATACACGCGTTGAAAACTCCATCCGACTCTGGGCTATCGCCTGATACCCACCCACGACTAGAACCACCATGTTTGTCTATTGAGAAATATGATCATGTTCAAACGGCTCGAAATGACGGCTTACTCGTTACGATTTGTCTCTGAACGAGCTAGTGATGACTATCTAGTCTGCAAAATTCAGTTACTCGCACTCCGAGTGGGCGGAAACTGCTCTGCATAGACGATGGACTCCAGGCGGATGTGCCCAATTTCCGCGACTATCAACGCAGGACTCTGTGCAGCGTGTGGAGACAGAGCATGATACCCTGTAGCCTTCGCGACTGACCTTTGTTAGACTCTCCTTTGTCTACATCTTCTACAGCACCTTGGTCGTATATTACCTACAGTCATTCGCTGCTTCAAAACCGTGACTACAGTATCTGAAATCCATCGCTCAAACCACGGCACCCCTATAAACCAGACGGCATTCTCCACCCATCTCTCCCTGTAACGTCCCATCAGCCTCGGGCTTCCGTCGCTTTCATCCAGTCCGACAATGAGTGATTATAGCTCGGATGACGACGACCGCCGAGTGGGCTCGTGGCGGAAAACAAAGGGCCGTAGAACGAAGCGACAAAGCAATTTCCTTGAGACCGTTTTGGATTCATCAATCGCGAGCAGCATGGAAAAGTCGCTATTCAAGGCCATTCGAATGTGGATCGACAGCAACACGGGCCTAGACTTGAAGTTTCTGGTCTGGACCATTGCTTTATGCATTCCCACTCACAAATATGGCAGTGCAACATGCAAACGGCTGAGCTCGAATCTCACAAATTCTGTCGAGCTCGATTATCAGGATGCGCTTGTCACTGACCTTTTGATATGGATCAGCAAGCAGCCTTCCAATCAGCTGTTTGCCTGGCTTCCTAGTTTTGAACACCTGGAATGGAAAGATTTGTCAAACGAGACAAAAACAGCCGATACTGACGAGAGTAATAGCTACCAGCTCATCGCTTCTGTAGGCTACACTCCTTTCTTCCATGGAGGTGTACCCTTTTTACTATACAAACCGGACGCCAGGCACTATGAAGAAAAGCTTAAGTTACGTCGTATGTGGGGGAGTAGAAAGCCCATTGAAGCCTTGCTACGAGATGTTCGCGAAACCGCTAACGCCCAGATGACGTTGTTAAAGATCATACGCGTCTCAGCTAGATACAATGTGAATGACACTTCTAGGAAGCGTAGACTGGAGACGATCGATATGGATCTGCGGAAGAAATAGGAGCTTTTGACGGATCTTCAGGTGTTCTTTGCTGAGGGAACAGAGGATTACTATTGGCAAAACGGAACACCATATCGGAGAGGCTACATGTTTTATGGGCCAGCCGGTACTGGTAAGACAAGTTTGTCTACGGCGATTGCGAGCCACTACAATCTCCCACTTTGTGTCATCGATTTAGCTGGCATGGACGACACGATCCTGCAAAACAAAGTCAAAAACTTGCCATCCCGTTGTGTCATCTTGTTTGAAGACATTGATGCCGCAGGTGTTGTACGTGAGCGCACAATGGTGCCGAATACTGACGCTAGTGACGAAGGAGATGAAACGATCTCGGAATCGGAATCTTCTGACACTTGGGACACGAAGCCTGGTAAGGACAAAGCGAAGAAGACTGATTCAAAGAAGATGAATCCGTCGCTTTCTCAATCCTCAAGGACAGAGGTCACTCTAAGTGGTCTTCTTAATACGTTAGATGGACCTGGATCACGGGAAGGTCATATCGTCATCTTGACAACGAACGCTCCTGATTCTTTGGATGAAGCCTTATATCGCCCTGGTCGTATAGATACCCAAGTGTATCTTGGCTTCGCAGATCAGGTCACTGCTGGTATAACCTTCACACACATATTTGGCAGCGACAAACAAGTCAAAGAGTCGCAGAAGGCTTTCAGAAATTTAGGCCGAGAATTCGGGCGATTGTTACCATCTGGCTTCTTTACTCCTGCAGAGATTCAAAAGTTCTGTGTGAACAGGCGTGGTCAGCCACAAAAGGCAGTCGACAAGTTTCCTGGATACATCGACGAGAAGCGAACAGGAAAGACCAAGTTCCAATATGAAATCCATCGACGTGCACCGAAACCCACGTTCCATAAGGAAGAGGCAATGCATGACGATGACAGCAGCGATGAAGTTGAATATACCCCGACGGATTTCGAGGAGTCTTTTGAAGGTGCACACACTAACTTCCCAGAATTGTCTTGCATATCATCAACAGAGACTTCTGTGAAGGGACCTGCGAAAGAGCAGCTGTTTGTCACGCATGGATATGAGCATGATGATGACGCTTTGGCGTACGGTGACTACTACCCGCGCAGACGAGGGGTATGGGAAGATCGTTTGGCTGACGATATTGTTGATATATGTCAAGGACTTAGAGATATGCTCGCCTTTACATCGGTAGAGCCATTTCGGCACGAGAGCACATTTTATAAGGAACGCAGGTTACAGAGCTTCGTAGTTCCTGTACTGAGCATGGGGAAAGGCCAGGATATGTCCCTGTCCGGTACTTACTGCGAGACGGATAGTATTGAGCCTTGGGTACTCTACAAGCCTAGCATTCGACCATGGAGGTTGTCGCGCGAGCACCACAATCTACGACCAAATGATATCGAAGAGATGTACTTGTCGAATCTCGACTCTTGTACGGCCGTACGGCCGTCGCTTCCTCGAACCCGCCCAGGTGCAACATCTCTCGATGAGTCCCGGTCAACTTTGCCGTCTCCGACAGAACCCACAGAAGCATCTTCATACTACGCGCCTTTGTCCGTTGGCGAACAGATTGAGAAGACTTTTCAGCACCACCGCGGGCCCAGTCACCCAGACGTCGCTGGCCGCCGCAATGTCTATCCTTATCACGGGCCTTTACCACGCCCCGCTAAGGAAGATTCTTGGATAGATGAGGCATCGCCCAAGTCTGCTACAGTTTTGCTTCGCAATGTAGACCCGCAGCCACTGGGAGATTTCGAGCAGCTCAGGCTGGCAGAAGGCAACCTTCATGCTGTCGACTAGGGCCTAACAGTGGCGTCTTCAGCAGTGGCGGGGCAAGGCCACGTCGCGACTTACCGACAGGGTCGCAAGCTTGGTCTTACTACCCGACGCTATACTGCCCAACTGAAGTCTCAAGTCACTGCATACCTGCAAAACGGTAGAATGAATATGGGAAACAACTCAAGATAATACATGATTGATTACAAGAGTAGCAAGAAGTAAAAAGGGACTTCCAAAGAGATCGATTTCTCGAATGCGAACTTCTCAAAATGTGTTATGAGGCTTAGCCGGATGATTACTCTAACTTACTATGCATCGGAGTGAAAATCTGCCGATGTAGCTGCGCTCTTCAATATGCAACTGTATCACGAGGTCCCTTCATGTTCTGTTGAGGAGCTTTTTGATGTATGATACCGTAACGATTGCGCAATGCGGCCTTATTTCGCAACCCAGAGACCCAGGGGCTGAATCTTGCCATGTCCACCTTGTTTCAGATTGAGTAGGAAAAGTCATCGGGTACATCTGGCGCTTTGGACCGTGCTGCATCCTGATACCGAAATGGATGGGGGATATCCCCGAGGATTACATCGGCCGGGGTATGCGCAGCGGCCGCTCGCGTTCCATGTAGTAGTTGTAGAATGTTTGATTGAACGCGCCCAGGTACTCTTTATCGAGCTTTCTTCGAAATCTTGTTCCCGGCGTGTGATATTGCGTGACCTATTGTACAGTCAACTATCACGAGCGCGATGCTTGGACTGGAGCGTCAACGAGGTTCAGACCGCACTATTCCTGCATCGGTACCATTTTTTGCACTGTACATGACCCGTGTTCACTAGGGACACGTGTATGCAAGTCATTCTTTAGGGGTTGCTGGCGAAGCGATCTGTGAACTGCCGTATTCATGTATCCAGTTCCTCAGGCCACATGACATTCGACTCAGTGAATAACCAGCTTTTTTGGCCTAAGCATTACCGTCATGAACACAACCACATGTCTGTATTAGAGACTAGCTTCAAAGACTAGACTCCGATTTGTAGAAGTTCATTAAGACCAGGAATAATTGTCTTGATCGGTTGAACAAATGCGCACATGTGGCAGAATAATAGAACGGGTACGGAGTCCGCACCCCAGCAAAGCAACGTTCAGAACCTTGATAAAGAATTTAACAGCTTGAGGTCTCCGTATGTGGCTTTCTCCGAGATTTAGCTTTAACATTTTGCTTCTTGGAATCTTCCGGAACATTCCGCGCATAATCTCTCCAGGTATGCTCTCGTTTCTGGGCTCTTCGAGACATATGAGGGGCAGGTATCCGGGTCCACTGCACGTACGAATCGTACCATGGATATCTCGATATTAGTGCAACGTGATGTCAGGCGCAAAAAATCTATGCTAGTATCATCTTAGCAAGGTTCCAGCTGCTCGGAGAAGGAGTCGTCTTTTTCTGCACAGACTAGCCTCAAACGGTACCTAGCTTACCCCACCACAGGATTCAGACAACGACAGGAAGGACTTTCCTGCCGAGACCAATGAAAGGCTGCCGTTCCTTAACATCCCTAGTTGCTTCGGACCTTCTTCGCCGTTTCCAAACACCACCTGGACCCTGAGCTCTTGCGATTCTAGATTCCGTTCATGCGCAATTGTTCGAGAGCCGACATCAGTAACTTCCATCCAGCGTGTACCTGACTCACGCCAGCATACCTCAACTTCAACATCTGCATCCAAAGCCACAGGTGTGCAGCCTCTTCCATTGCCTATCAAAAGTCCCGGCTACCCCTCTTATCTTTCGTCAACCCAACGCCGGCGGTGCCGCACAGGATACAACTATGGGCCTCCTCGATCTTCCACCAGAGATTATCGACTTGATCATTGATCGCACCGCACCTACTGGCCTCGAGAGCTTTGTGCTCTCATGCAAGACCATATATGGGCGGGCTGCAAACCAAATCCGACAACACAATGCGTTACGGAGGACCTGGAGCCATACAACTAACATGAGCCGGACTCGTCGCGGCGACACATTGTCAATCTTACACGACATCGCTCGCGATCCTATCATTGCTGAGTATATTGAAACTCTCTCCCTCTGGGATCGTCGTGCGGATGATGAGATGCCGGACCATATCGATGCGCCCAGTTTCCGCGACGACGAGCAAGCAATGCAAAATATCAAAGATTTGCTGCGACATGCCGAGCAATACGCCGATGCCGATGAGGACGATTGGTGGAGCCGCATCCTGGAAGAAGACCGCGCGGGTGACCAGCCGAATATGGACAAATTATATGCGACTGTCGCTTTGTTGAGTCTTCTGCCCAATTTAAAAACACTGCAACTGCCTGATAGGTGGCATGAGGTTCGGAAAGGCGAAAGTGCCGAGGCTCTGGTCCCCAATGTTCAGTCACTTGTTGCCATGTCCAATAGGAATGGAAACCGCGCAAGGCCCTTGGCTCGACTAGAAACCATCTTACCGTTCGTGGAGGAAGGCTACGATGTCAGAGTTGGCTTACAATGCATCGCACCGTTCATGGCACTGAAAAGCATCAGGAATATATATGCTGTTAGTTGTGTGGCTGTCGACGAGGATTGGGGAGGCGTGCCTTTCACTTGGATGAATCCACTTACCAAGTCCCCGCTGACCCGCGTTGAGTTCGCGTATTGCTGTATGGACGCTACCGGTCTCTCAGCCTTCCTAGAGAATACACCTGCTCTTGAGGTCTTCAAGTATTCCCACCAAACGAAATGGGACGGTCTTGAACACGATTGGAATGCTGGCGAGATGCTTGAGGCGCTGGCAAACTACAATGGTGATACCATTGTTGAGCTTGCCATCACAATCGATGAGCTGCATGGCGAGGTTGTGAATGGTCTTTCTTCTTTTCTGCGTTTCACGAAGCTGAAGAAGCTGGAGGTCGATGTTGAATGCTTCTGTGGTCCACCTCTAGAAAGCGGACAGCGACAGGGCCGCGATGCGCACATTCCGCAGGGTTCAAGGACGTGGAGACACATTGACATTCCGTGTATGGGCGACATGCTTCCGGACAGCATGGAGGAGTTGCAAGTCAACACGAACTTTCCACAACCATCTGAAGAATCCTTGAGGGCTCTGTTTAAGAACATTGTAGTGCGGCGCAAGGACAAGCTGCTCAACTTGCGCACGGCTATGATTCGACAATACGGGTCAATGAGTGCAGGTGCCATCGCTGCGAGTCACGATGTTGTATTCGAGGTGTTTGGATATGACGATGAGCATCCACTACCGCGATCCATGATGCCCTTGTGGAAGCGAGAGTTCAACAGTCGTGTCGGTGGAATTGTATTCGCAGACGGCTAGTGGATTTACGTACCGTCGATGAGATCGCAGATACCGTTATCGCGCTTTTTTAGCGCGGTATTGCTGTTCCAGAAAACTGGGGTTATTCGTGCGCAAAGTGTTTCCAGTGGACGATGAGGGTCTGGGAGCGGCTAGGTTCATGGGTAGTGACGAAGATACCAAGGGCCGTGACCTACAAACGCCGCATTGCGCTTCGTTGTACGTTTATCAACAAAGGATTGGAAGGATTGGAGGTGTGAGAACGAAGCCTCATTGTTCGCGGGCTCTGCGTTACCCCTCTATAGTCACCATGATGATGCGAGTCACGATTGCGTCATACCCGATGGGATCTTCGAACAAGCCACCTCAAGCCCTGGAAAGACGAAAGTACTTAGAAGAATAGCGAAATGGTAGACACTTCAAAACGTTACATAACAGGAAGTAACGCAGCTAACCTCAGCCTTGCTTGCTGCACCACTAAGACCCGTTACTCTCTTCGGCGCAAACGGATAGGTGCGCATGTCTGATCCGTCCCGTAACAATGAGTCTACTGGCAACAGCAGATTGACGAGCGCATCCTTCATGGTCTGAAGCCTTTCAACAAATGAGGTCAGAAAGTTAAGGCGATCTCATTTGTTCCAGCAGGCACGCAGCCTGCTCAATCAGATAGCTTCACCACTAAGACTTTCGATGCGAAAGAGGCGGATCTGTCTGAGCTAGCGGAAGGACTCGAATGTGGGATGCGGATGTGAGCGCATTGAGTGGTCCTGCATTGGAGGCGCAAGCCACAATGCAAGACGCGATAGCGGACACGGGCGTAAAGCGCTTCTACCCATCCGAGTCTGGGTTCCACCAAATACATCGCAAATCAAAGACCGTATGAGACATATCCATTCAGTCTCAAGCTTGAGAGCCCAACGCGTTTGGTTGTTATCTCAGTACTTTCGTCTATACCCATAAATGCGACATCATGGCCAATGGTTCGCCATCATCCACCCAGCCATCTAATCCGGCAAGATGAGCTTCATGGTGATTGGCTGCAGCGGCTTCCACAACCAAGATCACAAGAATATAGTGTGTTCCCGGAACCGACCCCTAAACTCTTTAAACGATGATATCACCCGTGTTGTTCGCGATCAAAACGTGGAAGCAAATAGTATGCACCTCAATGACTGCGGACTTCCTAGTGGCTGCTCTGCTGAAGTTCGAAAAGCGCAACGGCCAATACTTCAGCTTTGTTAGCGATACGATACCGCGTGTTAGAAATACGGGATTGCAGCGCAGGTACACCGGCAAACTGGCTGGCTTAGAAGTTCAGGGCTGTGATGCAATGCATGAGGTCTGGGTCGACCCGAGGAAGGCGCCGAATGAACATATTGAAAGGGCGTTACCAGTGAACCTTTGGTACTCGTTGAATGGTAGGCAGGGTAAAGGCAATATCATGAAACTGGAGAGCCAGACCACTGACAGTATGTTCGACGAGATTCTGGCTACATCATTTGAAGAATAATTCAAGCAGAGATTCGGGAGGAGCGTGAAGTTGTAGAAGCTGGAAGACTAGATAGCTCAAGAAACTGTTAAAAGTTTTCATGATAGTAACATGACACGAATACCTTGTAACTATTAGTCGGACTGCATCTACAACATCGATACCTTGGTGCTACTGCCACGTATGAGTTGGATTAGCGATGTGTTGTATGGTGCAAGTATCGTGGGTCTCATCCACATCTTAACCACGGTACCAATTTCCTCTGAGACATGAGCATCTTCTCAGCATATATAATGCCCTGCATCCTATCATCCTCTGTCTGTTTCCTCATCATCTACAAATCTTGTATCTTACAAGTCAGAACAGCTCAAGAATACGACTTATCGACCACTACCACAACACCAACACCAAACATCAAACCAAGCAAAAGCTTCTCTACCACACACATTAAAATGTACCCCAGAGCCTTGATCCTATCTCTTTTCATCTCTCTGGGCTTCGCCCTTCCTATCTTCCCCGTGGCCCGCCCCTACATCCCAAGCAGTCTTGGGGCTCTCGGCCCCATCGCCAGGGTCGTCACCGAAGCCGAGAATGAAGTTCTCACGGCCCCCATTCCCAAAACATGGATGCACACACACGGTTTCTCAAAGCCCGAGAAGCCCGAGGCAAAGAAGCGATCCACGGTTGGAGATTGCCCAGAGGGCGTTGCGTGTGCCGGTCTCATCAAGGATGTGATTCACAAGATGGATGAGGTTCTGGAGGAGGCCAAGGAGCAAATTGGCAAAGGACTTGATGAGGCCAAGAAGCAGATTGACGAGGAACTTGGCGATAATTATCAGCCAAAACTTGAGAGCAGGATGGTGGTAGACTGGGTGCCGTAGGTGCCCAAGTGTTAGACGGTTCTGCCTGATGTGAGAAGGCGAGTGCGCGGGGGATATAAAGGGTGGAAGCGAAATATCCTAGCCGATGGACTAATTCGGATGATCTGATTGATTGAAGGGAGTCTGGTGGTCGCAATACTCGCCTTACACACCTCACTTGTGTGGGCTTGTTCCAACTTGGTAGCGAGAGTTCGGTCGAGAGCTTGCCAGGGTTTATAAATGCTGTATCTCCCTATACGTAATCCATCTGAACCCTTCCAAATATGTATCCTCAAGCCTTTGCCTTCTCCGCATCTAACTTTTCCTTGATAGGCTGCAGCATGTTCGTCATGAAATTCTGATCTAGGTCCTGTCCCGAACCTTTACCAGCCGGCGGCTCTACACCCCACTCCGGTATAAGTCGCGTCCCTACCTGAGTGATCTCAAGTACACTTCCACACGGATACTCCTTCTTCTGTAGTAAGTCTAGTAGAGAACTCGCACATGCATCTGGCGTCAATGCCGTGTCGGTAGTCACGGAATATTGTTTGCGCTTTGCTTCATCCATCATCGGCGTATAGACGGCGCCAGGACAAAGTGTCGTAATCTTCACACCAGTGAGCGCTTCTGTCGCCCCCATCGACTTGACAAATCCGACCACAGCGTGTTTTGTTGCACAATAGAGTGGTGCTGCCATGTTGCCTGATATGCCGGCAACCGATGCCTGATTTCATGTTAGATATATTGTGATCGATCACACCCTGCTCTTTTGAGCAGACGTCGATATGCTGGCATTACTTACGATGATGCAAACACTGGCCCTCTTCCCCTTCCCTAAGCTTTTTCTGATAGCGAGCCTTGTCAACTTGATAGGATGATTCACATTGACCTCGACCTGCTTGTACCCTTCCTCTTCTGGATCTTGCCAGAAGTTGGAGAACGGCGGATCGAACAGTCCCGCGCAGATGGCGTACCCATCAGGAACGTCGTTCCATTCTTTTTCGCACACATCAAAGATCTTGTCGAAGTCTGCCCATCGCGTCACGTCAGACTGCACATAGAGTATGTTTGACTTGTTCGCGGCAAAGGTATCGAAGTCGGGTGTTGTTCTGAGATCTGCAACAAGAACGCGCGCGCCGAGATCATGCGCTTGCTTCGTCACACAGAGACCGATTCCTACAAATGTCAACTGCACATTCTCTATGCATCCATACTGGTACACATACCTGATGCGCCTCCTGTAATGAGGAGTATTTTGCTGTTCAGTGGCTGATCAACAGACGTCATCTTAGTTACACGCTTTCTGGTAGTAATGCGGTTCAGCAGGGAGGAACAGATTTCGAGGTTTACAGAGAGTTGACATGCGCAGTTGATCTAACGTTGCAGCTCATGTATTCGGAAGCCGGGTAAAAGCTTCCGGAGGCTTCACCGAGCAACGCCGTCCCTAGAGAAGAGGGGCTTCGGGTCACTGATCGCCGCATCACGGGCGCTACCGTTAGCTTGGTGACGGAAGGTCTTTCTGTTCGTGTGTTGTCTCCAAGCCAAGAATGTTCGCGGCCGATGATTGATTGCAGCATCTTTATCATCTGTGGAGGGGTGGAGAGGTGGGGAACCACTCGTATCGTTCCCAACATCGTTAAAGCTGCGCGTACAGTGTAAAAGCAAAACTGGCGACGTGGTGTACAGCGACAGGTCATTGAGAGATTGCTTGGCCAGTAGTCCATTCGAGAATAGCACGTTGAGCAGTATATGCAAGCGGGTGAGGAGGCGCCGATTGGGGTTTCTGCAGGAGTGATGCGTCATCGACCTGGCAATCCTCATCCTAGCCACACCAGCCACATTCACGACACCTACAAAAACAATAGCAACAATGTCGACGAAAGAGTTGGTTCGAGTCACTGTCCTTGCGAATCGTAACCCCAAGCTTTCGGAAACTGAATTTAACGATCACTGGGCAAATAAACATGGTCCTCTTATCACATCGTGGCTACAGCGTCACGGCATTGTCAAATACGTCCAAGTCAGCTTTCCTCTACCAATCCAGAATCTTGCCTGCGTGAAGCAATGCGGATTCTCTTCTTATATATGCTGACTCTTCGAAGTATCATACTACATCAAAACATAAAGCGCTTTTAAAAATGCCTGCACTCTCATACGATGGCATGGCGGACTTTTGGGTGCGAAACTACGAGGATTTCGAGAAAGCCTACGAAGATCCTTTCTACTTGGATGTCGTGAAGAAAGATGAGGAATACCTGTTTGACCTAGAGAGTTTGCGTGTTACTGCAGGTGTAGAGTACTGTGTTATCGAGGATGGGAAAGTGGTTTAGGAGCATGCGCGCAAGATCTAGTTGTCTCTGTACTTAGTCGCACGTGAGCACGGCAGTGGACCTTGGAAAGAGCGTAGTTTGTTGGTAGGACTCATGCGCAAAGTTGCGCGTTGTGAAGACCAGCAACTGCAAGCTCATAGGACAAAAGCTTGCTTCATAGGCAATCAGTTAAATGGTACGTAAAGGTAAAGCAAAACTGTGTGCGAAAACCTTCCACATACCCTCGGTTACTCGCTTCTGATTTCTCATTGAGAAGATGACAGTTCCTTGGTAGCCGGACCAAAATCGTACTTTCCATGGTCCGGCGATGGCCTAGCAAGGAGGAGCCACTCAACCACCGCTCCACCGTCGTCGTTTTTGGTGATCGAATCGCCTACATATACAGGAGAATCAAATGTACTCGGAACTCTACAAGATGCTGTCACCTCTACATAACCCCTTCTAGTATCGCAAGATGCTTGGCATTCACCCGCGTGGCACAATGCGCTGACCCAAAAGTGGTCTGTGAATGGCCTTGTGCAGCAGTGACTCCAGCGCTGTCTACCACGGTGACGTGATACGGAATACCTTTCGATTTTTCATTACCAGCGGATGTCTTCAGTGCGCTTCCCATGCATATATATAAACGCTTACAAGCTTAATATCATTTCTTCTCCACCACGGTGTTGAGTTCTCCAGTCGATCTCGATACCACCGAGAGAGCTGCTGCATGCAGCCGTCTCACAAGAGCAATATCAGCGTAGCGTAAGCCGATCGAACTGAAGTTACCGAGAATAACATACTGACATTTGTTACTAGCGATTTAGAAATATGCCGGTGATCATCGTTAGCAGACCCGAAGAGCAGCAGCCGACTCGCGGACGCAATTTATCGACCTCATTCGAGCTTAAGCCCATCGATTTTCCTCCTTTGTCTACTAGGGTACTCTCTCCAAAGTATTACAGTGCTGCTGAGCCGGCCCAGTCGTGGTCAGGTATTATACGACATGGCTTGAGACCACAGCCCAGCTTTGCGCGCTTCCTGGATCTACCAAAAGAGATCCGCTTTCCCAATTGGACCCTGGCATTCCCTTTTATCGTTCAGGTTGCGGTGCGAGACGCCGTCAAGCGCGGAGACGACCCAAGGAAACCCAGATTCTTGCCCGTTTTGTGCTTCACCTCGAAAAAAACGTTCGAGGAAACAGTAGTGAGCTTCATCATTGCCTCCAAGATCCTTGTCTGTTCGTATAACGACAACTTGTTCTTGCGCGCTTTCCTCAAGGCAGAAAACGGACGCTTCGAACAGGTCCGTCAACTAGACTTCGAATTCTTCTCTAGATACGAAGGCAACACTACCGAGAATGCCGACCTTGAGCTAGCAGTCCAGTGTACCGGACTGCGTATCATCAAGCTTGGCTTCCATAAGGAAGAGCTCACATACTATCGTCTGGTCGATGACTCGGATCTGTTGCTGCAATGTTCGACCCAACCATACGAAGCGACCGACCTCTTCTCCAAGTACAAGCTTGAGCGGCTACTAGATTGTGACATGCTCGAGACTATCATCATTGAGCATTCCGGATACTTCTCACTGTCGGCAGAGGCGGTCGCAGCGGAACTGGGCGCGATGTTGAGAGGAAAGTTCGCAGCTAAGGTATCGAAACAGGCCATCGAGGTAGTGTATACTCGGAAGGGAAGGCGGACTCGACAGATGTACGACTGGTAAAGACACTGCAGATCATCAGGCGCAGTATACTTATTACACTATGAAGATGCATGAAGGAGTGAAAAGGTTGTGGATCTTAGGCACATCAGTCGCCTGCTGTTGAAGATGAGCGGTCTGTCGTAGTTCAGCCACAATGTTATCAGCTTCGCAAATATGTACTGTATCTTCCCATGCCATCGGCATGATCACCTGGATGAGATACCCAATGACCACGTTCCTAGACGTATACGCCAGCTGGCGTAGCTTGGATTCGACGTCACAGCTCCCAATTCGATACGTTAGGGCGCGCTTCTCCACTATATGCTTGTTTCGACCGTAGCTGCGCACCCTTTGCGGACATGTCTAAAGCCAAGAGCAATCGAGTTGAGACAGTCTTAGAGGTCATAATCGCCGCGGAATCCAGAGTGGACGTATCGGTCGGCCGATAGCATGATTGAATTTTCAGGTCGTGCCGCCGTTGGAGTTTACAAGCATCCGCCCTCGGATAATAGATGGCTTTCGCCAATGTGAGAAGCCCCATATAAGCAACGAGGTCTCTCCACTTTCTCCTATTCGAATTGTGTCAGCTCGAACTATTGCCATAACAGAAAGAATTCCCCTTAATGCAAGTCTCTCGAGCTTTTGATTCAGGCTCGACTGCTGAAGTTCATGCCGCTAACGTTGAAGCATGCGCGTGTCGACGGATATTCCTTCAAGTATGTACTTGGGTAAGCAATGTTATTGCAATCAGAACCCAGTCCGGTCCTACGCAGAAAGTCATTTGCTACCTAGTTGCCATCAGCCTCAACACATTGGGGCGAAGTTCATGTCGAAGTCTCAGTCATCGACGTGCCGGGTTTCCGCTTTCCGCCCCAGGAATGAGTGGCATCTTGGCATTTACCGGTATTCCACCACAACGCCACCACCACCATGTCCTTTTGCCGGTCAGATGGGCAAGCTGCACTGAGACGCGCAGCGCGGTCCCGGCGACCGGGGGGCGTCTTCGCCAAGGTGACTTTCCAGGTCGGTTCTGTGTCCGTGAGCGCCATTGATCACGACTCCATGTACCACTTTGCGAGCCACCCGTTGGCGAGACGAGACGTTTTGCGATGGGAAGAAAGGCCCCACTAGCCTGTTCGCTTGCGCATGAACGATATCGCTGTGACACCAACAGCTCGGCGCCTGGAACTCGTTTATGTAGATACGGATCCAAGGAGTTGAGGTATCTGTCGTATCTGTGCGAGCACCGACCTCGTAGTTGATTACTCCGGATGCCTCCCGTAGGCGCATGCCAAGGCTGCACGCGGCCTGCGGCATAGCTCCGAAGTTCACCTAATCAGCTTCCCGCCACCTCGCGTCGCACACGCGACTTCTGCCGCGGGACGACCTGTCCTAACCCTCACAACCTATCTGAGAACATCATGGTAGCCACTTGCGCTTTCTCAACGTCTGCCAATGCAGAACCTCAACTATCGACTTCGTCAGTACAAACAACTCTCAGAGCGTCAGGTTCGGCGTGTAGGGCCATTTATCCATCTTGGCAGGTCATGACATCGCATTACTAGCTTGACCTACCACAACCGGACTCATGGTTGGCTTTTCCAAGGCTTCAGTGCAGAACTCTAAGAGACGTGCCGGATGGTAGGTAAAATTATCCGCGGGGCGAGTCACAGCTTCACAGGGCGTGTGTAGAGTCTTCGAGGGGTCTCTCGATTAAGCCCGGAAGCGTATGGGGCATCGCGGAGCAGACACAACACCAAGCAACACATGGCTCAACGTTGAAGATAGTTTCCAATCAGATGGCGTCAAAATCTTGTGATGAAGGCGTCTATCATCTGATCAACTCCAAGTGATATACTGGAACTACCAGGCTTTGCAAGCAAGTCTCTCTACACTTGCCGCTTCTTTGCCCCGCAATGTATGCCTCCAATGTATGCCTCCAATGTATGCCTCCAATGTATGCCTCCGTTGTCTATTGACTATTGCGAACAATATCAAGGCGCTATCAAGCACCAATGATAGACTGCATCCTATTATTGGATCTGCCATCCATCGTTGTTCCATGTTCTAGCGTTCAAATCACAGACTTCTCGAAGGCAGCTGAGCACCCCATGGGGAGACCACAAATTGCATCGGACCTTCGATATCGGTATTGGCGAGCAGTGCCTAGATATGACAAGACGGGCTTTCTCTAGTCTTATAATTCTAGTCCCACGGCGCTACGGGCCTGGTGCCAACGGATCGCTCGGTGGGGTTCTCTCGGTATCACCTTACTGGTGCTTTCCTCCGTTGCTGTCAGGCTGTCATCCTGCAAATTGCGGTATCCATGTCCGTCAACCCGCGGTGGAGTAAGCATACGAGACGCTCAACCGGGGTGTGGGTCTCTTGTAGTAATTGTAGATCGAATATAAGTACTGGACGCTGAACGAGCGTCAGTCGCATCCTCAAGGAACTTCGCCCATCAGTAGCAAAGCCTACCGGTCCTGAACTCAACCCAATCTTCACGCTATCTTGTCGCACATTGCTCTTTATCCAAGATGGTGGGCATCTCCATGGGAGCGCCGAAAGGCAACAGCGCGGTTGCTCGCGAGGAAGCGCCTGAGTTTGAGAAGGTTATCTGGTACAAGGACCCAAACATGCGAAAGCTGTTCTGGCACTCTTCAGTCCTTTGTATTGCTTCTGCAACTACTGGTTACGACGGGTGAGTGTTCCTTTTCGCAACACATTGGATTCGACTGATAATCATCTAGCATGATGATGAACTCTTCGCAACAGATGAACTACTGGCAGACTTACTTTGGCGAGCCCTCCGGTAACCGACTGGGTCTCATGAACAACATGTACAACATCGGTTCGATCGTTAGTTTCTTCCTTGTCCCGTTCCTCACCCAGTGGACCGGTCGCAAGATTCCAATCGCCGTTGGTTGCTCCATCATGATTGCCGGTGCGCTTGTCTCAACCTTTTCTACGAACTGGCAGATCTACATGGGTGGCAGGTTTATTCTTGGGTTCGGTAACTCTTTCGCCCAGATGTGCTCGCCCATTCTCCTCACCGAGATCTGCCATCCCCAGCACCGTGGTATCTTCACCGCCGTATACAACTGCTTGTGGAACTTGGGAGCGCTTTTCGTCGCATGGATCGCATGGGGTACATCTCAAGCTAGCAACGATTGGTCTTGGAGGTCTATCACCCTTCTTCAAGCCCTTCCTTCATTCCTTCAACTGTGCTTTCTTTGGTGGGTTCCTGAGAGTAAGTTCGACCCACATATTGGACGATTGAAGAACTCAAGCTGATATAACTCCCCAGGTCCTCGTTGGTTGATTTCCAAGGAACGCTACGAGGAGGCTCTGGACACTCTCGCGTACTACCATGCCGGTGGCGACAAGAACAATGCAACCGTTCAGTTCGAATACATTGAGATGAGAGAGGTCATCCGTCTGGAAGCCGATGCGAACAAGAACTCTAGCTACGTAGACTTTGTCAAGACAAAGGGTAACCGGTGGAGGTTGGCGATTCTTATCTCCCTCGGTATCATCTCTCAATACTCCGGCAGCGCGCTCTTCTCCAACTACATCAACTTGGTTTACGAAGGCGCCGGAATCACTAGCGAGAACCAAAAGATGGGTGTAGGTTTACCTGAATCGATGTACAGAAATTCATACTAACGTCTTGTTTAGCTTACTGGTGGTGAGCGTATCTTGGCTCTTTTTGTTTCAGTCTACGGCGCTACCTTGATCGACAAAGTTGGTCGCCGTCCACTTTTCCTCGGTGCCACCACCGGTATGGTCATTTCGTTCATCTGCTGGACCGTCACCTGCGCTGTCTACGAGAACTCTGGCGACACCAACTCCGCAGCTGGCTACGCTCAGATTCCATTCGTGTGGATCTTCGGTGTTTTCTATGCTCTTGCTTGGTCTGGTCTACTCATCGCATACGCCCTGGAGATTTTGCCCTACGCCCTTCGTGCCAAAGGTCTGATGATCATGAACATCACTGTTCAGGCTGTTCTTGCAGTCGGTGGTCAGACCAACCCTGTTGCATGGGACAACCTTCCCAAGCATTGGAATTTGGCTCTCTTCTACACTCTCTTGATCACTGTGGATCTTATATTCGTTTACTTCGTCTACCCCGAGACTAAGGGTCCTACACTCGAGGAGGTTGCCCGCATCTTCGATGGTCCGGCCGCTGTTGCTCCAGTGGATATGGATGCTATCGCGAGGCAAGCCGCTAAGGAACGCCTCCACGGCTCTGGTGATGATGGTGAGAAGGAGCCGCATATTCAGCAGACCCAGGTCGTCTAGAATATCGAACTTTGCTCAACGGAAGTTCGTCTCGTAGACATGAGGGACATCCGGCTTCGTGGTTTTAACAGGTCGCTCGCGCTGAGGTAGCCTTAGTTTGTAATAGAAGAGCTGTTTTGATATATCCTGAACGATCGCATACTGCCATGTTGACCCGTAATAACTATGTTTCAGAAATGGTTAGGATGTGGGGAGGATCCTCTGACATAATTTCTAATGAGAAGGCACGTGTTAGCGCGACCGCCAAGATACCATCGCTGGGCTAGGCAGATACCCCGCATCGGAGGAAACCCCCTCTCACCTCCTCACATGCCGTATTAGCGTCTCACCGACAGCCGTTTCTTACGGGTAACATCTTACTACCCAAGTGCTCATTCCCGTCAGCTCCATTACCATCTCATTGTCTTTATTCGGCCCGTCATTGTAATCACGCAGGCCCATTTCGGTATGCAAATTATTGTCGTTTAGAGCACGCAAACCTGTCATAACTGGCGACGACACTCTATACATCTTCGCTGTTCTATCATCGAGCCTCCTCTCCTTGTTTAGGAAATCTCAAATCTTGCTCAACTCTTCGACCCAGCTCCCAGCTCGTCGTATATTTAGGACCGGCCTGTCACCGCGACATTCATCCAAAGGTCTAAGCCATCCTCCGATCACAGATCCTATTCTGCTACTAGACCTAGCTGTTGAGGTCCCCATGTTGCATACAAGGGTACAGCATCGTAGGAGAGATTGGACAAGCCTGGTGGCCCTTAACTGGTAGTGCTATCATCCCACGCCATCGCCAAGATTCTCACTATGAGCAAGCGTTCAGCGTTGGCTGGATCGTATAAGCTTAGCAAGGCGTAAGTCCGTGTCTGCGTTGAGAACCAGCTTGGCAAGGCCACCCTCAGGTTAGACCTGGAATACACACATCCAACTCATCGTAGTTTCCCTCCGTTCGCCAAAAGGGTATGATTGAGTTAAAGCAGCAGTGGAAGGCCCGTTCCGCCGTGCATTCGGTCATTGTTAGAGCTGAACTGCCTCGCTAGACTAAAACTTCCTTTCCAGTAAGAGCAATAGCCGAGCGACCGCTTGAAACGCCTGAAACTGTCTCACTCGGAACGGTATACCAAGCGCTCCTCGCTGACATGTCGCTCATTATATACAATCATGCAATCTATCTTGCATTCTTTTTCGATCCGGTCACCCAACTCCAAGCGTTCATTTGCTCTCCTTGGAGCTTGGCCAACAATACCAAGTGGATCAACATGCTCATCAGCAACGCTTTCAAGCTACCAGGCAGACATTGGTAGGGACCAGAAGTGCGTCTTAGGTAGAGCAGGTATGGTCTTGATCACACGAGGATCATACAAGAAGGTGGGTGCTGGCTACGTTTGGAGTACCAAAACCTTCCGAGTAATCACATCATCATCTTCACTTCACGATCAACAGACTTTCATATCAATATGAAGTACCTCACTACCATCTCGGTTGCTCTCAGCCTCATCCTCTCCACTACTGCGGCGGCTACTCCCGGACCCCTGATCAATGCCGACCTCCTTCCTCGCGATATGTCTGCTATGCCTCGTGGTATAACATCTCTCTTGACTAGAGATGCGATGATGGATCGTCGTGCTCTCGAAAAGCGTGCTGGTTGCTTTCAGGCATGTAACTCAGGATGTGGAGGCTGCACCAGTATGGGCTGCCTTAGCGGTTGCCAGATCAATTGGTGAGATTAGCTCCAACTCCGCGAATGAACTAGCCCTCTAGGTGTTCAAAATGATACTAACAAACTTCTCATAGCTCGATCTGTTGTGAGATCCACAACGGCAATTGCACCGACTGCGGTACTCAGTATGAGTGTGATCAGTAGTGATCCAAAGACACATTGGTCGGAATGTGAACAAGGAGTCTTGCTATCGTCTCACGACTTTGTCGTGAGATGAGAGATATGGGATAGAACACACTCGCTAGTCAAAATTGAATACAATTGCGGGCTTATCATAATCTAATGAGGCGAGAAGTGAGATAAGCCAGTCTATATTCAACAGCAGCTGCACTACTGTACTGCGTCTATGTGCTGCTGCTTTGTGACTTTCTGACATACTATCCAGATATTCAGAGGACAACGCACTGCCTTGCAGAATATTGTGGAAAGTGGTTAGCTCGAAGTCGAGTTTCATCCGCTGCAACAAAGCGCCTTCCTCAGCACGCCCCACATTGTTCGTTCCTATCTTGGTATCTCCATCTCCATTGTCTTCTCATTGACCAATGCCTAAAGACCATCAACAAAGCGATACAAAACGCCTTGATGCTGCTTTGCAATATGTCACAGCGAGTTCATATATCCGTAGAGTTGGGCAGTCGATCTTGCAGTTCGTCGCATAACCTAACCTAGCGATCACGACAATTCACCTACCATGGCGAACAATCCTGATCCTCGCGTTGTCAATATTGGAGGTATCGAAACGTATGAAAGTATAGATGACGATGATGCAAACCTTTACGATGGCCTCCTCGACAACCAGACGAAGAACGCATTTCTCGCGATGATGCGGCATCTTATCAGAAAGAGAGGCAGAGAATGTATGTAGATAACATAAAGTAGATTCGGAGTATGTGGCTCACCTTCATAGTTCCCCGAGGCAGCCGCGGAAGGAAGGTTGTGAATCAATGGAGAGTCAAGCAAAACTATTGGAGAAAGAAGGTATACACTGGCCAACCTGCGGCGACGGCAGTCAGGCGACTCTCGATTCCACCATCTATTGCTCCACCAATGGCCTTGCAAGCTCCAGTGGCTTCAGTAGATCACGCAGAGGTAGCGCAACAACAATCGCAAGAGTCGGGTGCAACTGGAGACGCAACGGAAGGAGATGGTGTAGACACGCCTACAGCTATATCAGAAGCTTCAACTGGAGAGCGCTCGCCTCCATTCTATATTCGAAACAATCCCAAACGAAAGCGATTCTTAGCTCCTACGGTGGGGCAGCGACGTGAATTCTACAATCATCAGAACGGCAATTGGAAGTTTGCGATGACTCTCTATCAGACTAGACTTGACGGAAGCGGGGCGGATAAGCGGCGGTTTGAGAAGGGGACGATGCCTCGCAAGTCAGTTTTCCTTTATGTTCGGACGAGTGATGCTGGGGTAATCGAAGATGTGAGTCTTATAGCGTAGGTGCATTTGGATGGCCTTACTCATCGTTCTTAGCAAATCACAGTCAAATGTCTAGAGGCACTGGATGCGAAAGAGTTCAACGACGCGAAGCACGAGATTCGGATGAACCAGCGTATCAGCGAACTCAATTGTTCGCATATGATACCACAACGCGGTAGCACCAGAAGATCTTGCACTAGGAAAATTCATGATCGCAGCGACGAAGAACCGGCGCCGACTGTCTTCAATATATGCTCATCTTTTGCCGAACTTGGAACTCTTGCCCGCGTCTACAACGGGCATAAACACACTACTCCCAAGAAACCTGTACCCGAGCATTTCATCTGGTATCTACTCAGTCAGGTGTCCAAGGCGCTGATGGCGTTGCAACAGGGTGTTTGCTCAACACCGAATCTCGAGGGGCAGGATCAGAATCATAAGTCACCTATCGCATCTGGAGAAGACCTAGATTTAGATGCCACCTCGGTGGCGTGGCGACCAATCATTCATTCCGATATCAAAGATGCCAATATATTCCTGCGATCTGATAACACTCAATACCCCGCCTATCCAAGAGTCGTTTTATCTGATTTTGACATCGCTTTTGAACAAGACGACGAACGTGAGATGGACAAAAGGAAGGTCCAAGGCACGCCAGGATTGATGCCTCCAGTAAGTAGGACGCTGGCACTATCGAAGCGATGCTAACCTCGATTAGGAACGAGACGGTGCTGGATTGTACGAACATGATGGTTGGACACCAGACGATTGGCCTGTCTCGGAGAAGTCAGACATTTGGAGTCTAGCTATGACCGCGTGGGCACTAATGATGGCCCACAAAGAGGAAAGCTTTTACGAGAATATCCAAAAGCGATCCGAGGATCCAGAGCATGTTCAAGATCTGAGGGACGGAACTGTTGGAAGCAGAGATAGTATTTTCCCACATACGCTGGAAGAACTTCCCAAAGAATACAGTGTGCGCCTATGCCAGGTCATCTCGCGCTGTCTACGTTACAAACCGGAAAGACGCATGTCGCTTGAGAAACTGCGAAGAGCCACCGACGACAACCTGTCCAGACTCGATAGGATGTATGGCGACGAAATACGAAAAGATAAAGACGCGATCGCCGATGAGTTCAAACTCGAATATACCACAGAAGATAGTGACGAGTGGGCACGATATGCTATCGGCCAGGACTTTGTACCGCCACGAAAACGGCGAAAGACGGACAGCGCCGGTAAATTTGAAGAGGGATTGAGCAGACTGGTTACTAATTGGGCTCCCGAGGCTGTACACCCGCGCCCTAGTACAGAAGTCCAAGATGATGTGCTGAACCTTGTCGACGACCTCATCAGCAGCTCTAAAGAAGAAGCAATTGAGACCTTCCGCCAGCGTGAAGCTTATCTCACCGCCTGGAGATATCTTTGTTCGAGTATACGCAAATACACATCATCTCAACGCGACGTCTACGTGGCTGATGATATCACTATTGAGGTTTTACGAAGATCGCTCGAACGCAACACGAAAAGGGAAGTACTTATGCTGCTCCACGAGACGGTCCTGGAACTCGCCTTGGAAGCCGCATCAGAGGATCGAAAGAATGGTCTTCAGACATTGCAGCATGCGGTCATGTGGGGTCTGGTGCTGTGGGATATCAATGCAGAGCCGGTGACGCCAAGATTGAGTGACAAAACGGAGATGCATCGTGGCGTTGCCAGCTTCATCCTTGATCAACCTTCCGGCGTACCTATGCATGAAGATGCTGACTCAGATGTAAGTATCATATAAGTAGTGTGATCACCATTGGTAATTCTGTACACGCCATTGTTACTGTTGTGGCGTTTTTCAAAACAGCGAGTGCGTCTTTTCCTTATCAAACGTGTCTGTAACACAACACAAATTGGTTACCCACAGTTGGAATTAGATCTGAGAGTCCTTGTGGTGTACTGTGACCACGAGAAGATGCAAATGTCTTCGCGCGAGTTGACCTGACATGTGGCGCAGAAGGTGGATTCTTTTGACACTGCATGCTTACACCAACAACACTCTAGAAGATCAGAATATAGTACTTGGTAGTATAAGATATCGATCAATAGGTTGACAGCTGCGGCATCAAAAAAGTTCAATCCGCGCGAACGATTTCACTGGCACATGATCCCCAATCTTGGTGTTCGCGCGCCCTCAGAAAAAAAAAGTATTACAGAACTTCTCTGATCCGTGCCTGGGTTCTCTCGACGAAGCAAAAAGATGGACTTGCAGGGAATCGAACCCTGGACCACTCCCATGCTAAGGGAGTATTATACCACTAAACCACAAGCCCGATTTTTGAATCATTCTGATTCGCTGATGAAGAGTTTGACAATAACAAAATAATCAAACTACATTTTGTGACATTCGCGTAGCTGAGTGCGCTACGGAATTTGTTCATAGTTCGACAGTCATCACCCCCACTAAGCGTCAATACATCGTAAGTGACGTGGAAAACGCACTGTCATGCACAAGCCTGTACGACCACGCAATTCAACTACAATAAATTCGAGTGCTCCTGTAGTCTCATTCCCGAGCTTATAAATCAGGGAGCGGCTCTTGAGTTGCTAAGAATTCCCTCTCAACACCGTAATACACGCAGTCTCAAACTCAGTGATCTCGATAACCAAATTCTTACAACCATAACGTCCCTAAAAACCGCACCATTAACCCATCGCCTCTGCTAAGCTTACCAGGGGAAAAACGCAACCACATCCATGCCCTGGCACTATCAACTAGTCCCCAGGGTGATATCGATTTTAGTCTGACATTCAACGATAGACGCATCAACCAGTTGCAACTGACCTGTCGCCAACTTCACAGAGAGACTCGGCTGCTCGAATTCAAACACAACCCTGTGAGGATCGATGGCCATATGGTTGAGTCCTCACGTAGGAGTTTACGGGACGAAAAACACCCATCAACAGCAAAGATGATATTTCTTGACCTGACTCGCTCGCTCGGTCCCAACAGACTTTCGTGGATCACGAGTCTAACACTCTCCAACAAAATTACCGCTGTGGACCACGAAAATTGGCTAGAACTGCAAGAGATGGCGAGCACGATGGCCTACTTGACCAAAGTCTTGATAAACAGCCCATCGCTACGAGTGAAGTACAACATGCACCACTTCTGCAGAGCGAACCTGCTCAACAAGTTGGGCGACGAAGCTACTGACATCTCTATCTTCACGCATGGCATCGTGGTGTCTAGCGTCACGCGCGGCGACGCTCTAGAGGACATGTGGCCAACAATAACAGCCGTAGTACCCATAATGAGGGAATCATACGAACGCAGAATGAGTACAGCAGAAAAGTTCCGTGCTATTCGGGTTGTGAGGGAAGCGCCGTTAGAAGTGAAGAGACTGTGGGACAGGATCAGATTCTTTCCTAACCCGGATATTGTCACAACACCGCGATCATCTGTCTCGACCCCGGTTCCAGTCGAATGGGAGCTCAGATTCAAGTTATGGGCAGCACTGTTCAGGCGCCGGGTGGAAGGGGGAATGTGAAGATCTTATCAAGTGCAATGACAGATGATGAAATGTGAAGATACGCTACATGTCCAGTGCAGCCAGCGACGATCTCCACTTCTCGGCTCTGGTCTTTTCAAGACCACGACAATGTTGCCTCTGCTCTCTCGTTGGTAAAGAAAGTCCCTATACTGCATCGTGCCATATGGCAGATCAGGCGTGCGATGAACTTTGAAGAATAGAATTAATAAAACTGACTCCCTCACAGAGGTCTTGACGTTGTATTTTTGGATGTAGTGTTCATTTTTCGATCCTTATTATAGATGTGTGACTTGGAGTGAATGAAAGAGCTCAGATGAAAGCAGAGGCATCCGGCGCACGGGCCCGCAGTTGCCTCGGTGACATCACAAACAAGCTGCGCAGACTTTCCAACTCCACCTATCACTCATCACCGCGACCACACGAGCCAACCCACGCCTGTCTCACTTCCGCCCTGCAACTGTCTCGGTCGCAACCCCCGCTGAATCGTCGACTCACCTCAACTACCCCACCACGACACCGACATGGCTGATGCGCGCGGAGAGTATTGGTATTACGAAGATGGCGTGGATCCAAACAAGATAACGGTCCCGGAGCTGAGGAGCATCTTACTCCGACATGGCGTTCAATACCCTTCCTCGGCAAAGAAGCCTGCTCTGGTTGGCATGTTCGTCGACCTCGTTCTTCCCCAGAAAGCACAGGTTCAAAGGGCGCAGGCACGCACAAAGCGATCGACGCGGGGCATCGTAGATGTTCCCTCCAGTTCAGCCAGCACAGTAGAGACAGACGATGCCGAAGACGAGACGCTCGTAGTACCTACACCTGCGACTACACGACGCACAACCCGACGAACAACCCGCGAACCGACAGAGGAAGCAGATGTACCGGCACCACGCGCCAAGACACCCTCGCGGGCTATTCCTGCCAAACACAGCAGAGCGCTTGAACCTGAGGTAGATGAGCGACCCGCGACTAGACGCATACGCAAAAGCGCCACTCCTGCGCCCAAGGAACCCACGCCCGAGCCGGAAGCGTGGCATCGCAACGACGCTGCCAGTCCCTTCACCCAGGAGAACCCCTTTCAGAGTGGGAGCTCTCCTGCAGTGCCAGACACGATATCGCGCGACCGTCGTAGGCGCACTACAGGATATGCTCAGGAGAGGCGCAAGAGCGACGCGCATCGCCGGAGGACCTTTCAACCCAAGACTGAGCAACAAGACGACGGCGTCATGGTACCCACTCGGGGGACATTCGACGTGGCAGACCCGCGTGTGAAGCAGCAGGAGGATGATCTCGCAGATGCCGGCGAAGAGTTCACGCCAGAGGAGCAGCTTGATCTAGTGCGCGAGCGGGCAAGGGCTGGTGAAGTGGACATTTTGCCTCCCCGAAGACGTAGGCAGAAAGGCAAGAAAACTGGAACAATCAAAGCAATGGCCGGCACTCTTCTTCTCACAGCTTCAGCCGCCTTCGCTGGCGTATGGCGGCAGGAGAAGATCGAAGTTGGCTTCTGCGGCGTTGGACGAGATGCCATCGGACTTGCTGGTGTGGAGATACCGAGCTGGGCGGACCAAATCCTCCCACAATGCGAGCCTTGTCCGCCACACGCGCAGTGCTTCCGCGGATTGACTCTCAGGTGCGATCCCGATTTCATCATGAAGGATCATCCGCTGTCCCTCGGTGGTCTGGTTCCTTTGCCACCGACCTGCGAACCGGACAGTGAGAAGACACGCAAAGTGAACGGTATCGCGAACAAGGCAACGGAGATACTTCGCCAACGCAAGGCCCAATACGAGTGCGGAGAGCCTGATGCAGCAGGAAACCTAGTGGAAAGCCCTGAAGTGAGCGAGGTGGATTTGAAGCAACAGATGGCATCTCAGAAGAGCAAGAGCTTGACGGATCAGGAATTCAGTGAGCTGTTCGACAGAGCCTTTCCTGAGCTGGTTATGCGGGAAGAAATAATCGAAAGCACCGACGGGTAAGTACTTTCCTTGCTAGTCCCATCACTTGTACAGCATTTCTGACGTGGAATTGTACTAATCAGTCACTCTTCCTTGAACACAGAACGACAGGCGCACGGCGTCTCGCATCCACCTCCCTCGCCAAGCTCTCACTCTCCTGCAGCGTCCGAAGATCCCTCCGACAATCCTTTGAACGACATCTTCTCCAAATTGTAACAATACTCTTCCTCATTGCCACTGGCTCATACGGAAAGTATTCATATACTAGTAACCGGGCGATGGAAGTTCGGGCCAAGCAGCTAGCAAGCGACGCGTATGACAGACTCCAGGACCAAGCCGCGTTGGGCTACTACGACTCAGGCGCTGAGAAGGGCATCAGTATGACACAACTGCGGGACGATGTCTTGAGGACAGAGTTTAATGCAAAGCGACGACAGAAGCTGTGGGCGAGGGTGCAGGCAAAGGTTGAGAAGAACAGCAACATCCGCGCAGGTGTACGAACAACAGCTAGCGGCGATGTTGCCCGCATGTGGGAATGGGTCGGTCCTGTGAAGCGGATCGACGATGGAAGAACACCTGCGAAAGGTGAGAGCAGCAGGTTCAGTCTTGGCATGGGTAGCAGCCCTCCATCTGCATCTCGAGATACGAAGGAGGTCCAGAAGTGGGAAGAGGGACATCCGATTTACTAGTCTTCACGTTTGAGCTCCCATTTGTTTTACCGGGTTCATGGTCAGACATGGTATATGGCGAGCGATCTGCATTTTACTTAGCACGCATGATACCACAATGAATTCTTACCCGATCAACTCATGATGACGAAGGACCCGATGTTCCCAATGTGCCTCTCCGTTGTCTTGGCTGTGGCTGGTGTAGTGTGGCGTCGGCTTACTAACCTAGCCGAAGCCCACACAACGCTAGCAATATCGGCGCAGCGACCTCAACACCTCCAGCAACACCGCCAACTTTTCGCTCATACTAACCACAGAGCAAAATCCGTCAAAATGGTGAGTGATATCTTTGCTGCCGGGAATATTGCGAAGGACACGACATGTGCGACGAGCGACGAGCAAGCGAATTCACGAATCGATGACGATGGCGAGGCGAAACCTCCGACCCCACGACATTGTACCGACAATACCTTATCAGAACGGGACACGGCGGGAGACATCTGATGCTACGACGGCTGGGCTGGATAATGTCTCTTGTTGCTGGTATAAGGGAGACGCGAGGGCCTTGGAGTAGAAGGGCGGCGACTCCACCAGCAAACCATCATGCGCTCGTATATCTTACGTCGCACTACGAAACATCCGCAAAGGCGCAGGATTGCGCTCGTATAATTCATGGCGACATTGTCTTTCCAGGACTTACACGATCGCATCCTCGCGGTACCGTTTCTTCGCCATCGTCTTTTCCGCTCGCTCGTCCCGCATTCGTCGCTAGCAAAGGAAACGGAGAGCTTCAAGGCATTGATCACGGACGCTGACTTCCACTCCCAGGTCAACGTTCCCAAGACCCGCCGAACCTACTGCAAGGGCAAGGACTGCAAGAAGCACACCCAGCACAAGGTCACCCGTACGTGATGCACGTCCACGCATTCGCACCACCCGTATACTGAGACTGTGTAGAGTACAAGGCTGGCAAGGCTTCGCTGTTCGCGCAGGGTAAGCGTCGTTATGACCGCAAGCAATCCGGTTACGGAGGTCAGACCAAGCCCGTCTTCCACAAGGTATGATCACACGCATTCGAGATGAAGAAACGGGCGACTGACACCCAAACAGAGGGCGAAGACCACCAAGAAGGTCGTTCTCCGTCTAGAGTGCACACAGTGCAAGACCAAGGCACAGGTATGCTGCACTCACCTTCCACTAGCTCACAAATACTAACGCACCGCAGCTCGCCCTCAAGCGATGCAAGCACTTCGAGCTTGGTGGTGACAAGAAGACCAAGGGTGCCGCTCTCGTCTTCTAAGCGTGCATCTTCTTTCTCTCTCTTTTGCTGGGCTCTCGGCGTAGTCTTCGGGCGGATGGAATGGAACGGCTCTACCTTCGACTCAAGCAATGCATCAAACCATCAGTGCGATAAAGAAATGAAGGCGTGTGAGGCGGTGGAAGATTTGGCGACAAAAGGTCACCAGCCACGAATTTACGGACTGTAACCTACATATGCATCAAATGGAGCTCGATTGAAGGGACCGCAACATAGCAGCTTTGCTGATTTCAGTCGTGATTGTCAAGTGATGATTTCCAGTTGTAGCAGGTACAACGACGCGGCTCGATTCCGACGGAATCATGTTTCCAAGTCGTGGTTGCCCCTCCACCCCCACTAACGCGTCAGTCGCGCCCTATCTTGTCAACGCCATAGACGCCACTTGTATATGTAACGTGAGTATGACCATCTCTTGGACTAACTCTACACAATGGCTGATTCCAACAAGAAGAGCGTGCTAATCGTTGGCGGTGGCGCCGTCGGTGCAATCGCAGCCGTCAACCTCGAAGCCGGTGGTTTGGCAACGGTAACCCTCGTCCTACGCTCCAACTACGACGTCGTCAAGGAACACGGATACACAATCTCTAGCTGCGATCATGGAAACTTGAAGGGATGGAGACCCAGTGTCGGTATGTTTGGCAACCTCACTCTTCTTCTACACTTGAACGACTTTTGGGGACGGCCCAATATTCATACTGAGTGTGGGTTGTATGTGTGTAATGTGGCATGAGGAAAAAGGCAAGCTAACATGTAAACCATTGTTTTCTTGAAATAAAGTTCGCAACAGTATTCCCGATCTCGTTGGGGAGGGTATCGAGCAGCCGTTCGATTATGTGATGCTTTGCACCAAGAACATGCCGGATATCCTTCCTACGGCCGTCGACCTAATCAGCCCTGCTCTCCCCACTGGCAGCAATGCGAGCAAGACTACCTTGATACTCTTGCAAAACGGGTTGAATATCGAGAAACCGTTTCTGCGTCCTCATCCCAATGTTTGTATCCTGAGTGGTATTTCCATGATTGGCAGTGCGGAAACTAGGCCTGGTACTATTGTGAGTATTTATCCTTGTTTCCTTTTTTCTTTCTTTCTGTATTGGTCTGGAAAGTGATAAGTTTGTATGTGTATATATCTATTGATTGCACGACCTGACCAAACTTTTTTTTTTCTAGATCCAAGATGAGGGCGATAAACTGTTAATTGGCGCCTTTCCCACATCAAACATCAACCCCGCTGTGCCCGAACGACGCGCCGAAGAATTCGTGCACATGTACTCGGCAGGCGGCAAAACAAAGTGCACTTACTCGCCCAACGTCCTGCACGACCGGTGGAAGAAGTTGGTCTTCAACGCCTGTCTGAATCCAATTTGCGCCATTACGGGCCTGGACGACGGACGGCTGCGCCTAGCGGACGGCGCGCTCGACGGCCTCGTGCGACCAGCCATGCGCGAAATCGTTGCCGCGGCCAAGGCGGTCTGCGGTATGGACTTGGATCCAGGGGTTGTGGAGGAGACGATTCATGTTGATCCGTTGGAGAGCTGGCTGAAGCCTAGTATGCAGCAGGATTTGGTAAAGGGCAATTTCCTCGAGTATGAGAATTTGCTGGGGGAGCCGTTGAGGGCGGGGAGGAATGCTGGGGTTAGTATGCCGACGTTGGAAGTGCTGTATTACCTTGCCAAGGCGATTCAGTGGAGGATCAAGGAGAAGAGAGGGTTGGTTGAGGTGCCAGGGAAGAAGTAGAGTGGTTTGGAGGGTGGGAAGGTGGTGTTGCGACTATGGACATCACGTAGATGATGTTGGCAACTTGTCACGTCGTCTCACTAATCATAGAGGATGCGTTGCATTATCAAGAATCACAGTGCGAACATGGGAGAAGGTTGTGATGGTCGAAGACACGTACTACTCCGCTGATACCTTTTTGTAGTGCCCACCAGTCTAAAAGTGTTGGAGTATATAGAGACGTGCTTTCTAGGCAGTGAAGAAGTCGCGCTTAGTAGTCGTAATTAACAAATACAAAGAAGCTTTAGTAAGACTTGTCTGATTTCAAGTTCTATGTACCGTAAATACGAGTAAAGAAAGTAGTAAATCTAAAGCCCTCCTGTTGACGGAAGCTGTCCTTCCTTATATGCTTCGGTAGTTGAGTATCGAGTATATCCATCCAAGATACCCTGTATACCGGCACACTAGCGGTATGGTCCAAAAGAGTTAGATTGCCGCAGTCAGCCTTGCTTAGAAAATCACCTGCGTTGATTCTCCTTCTTTGAGAATAATAGACCAGCTCTTTTCACCGACATTTTATATGTCCGTACTCGCATTCCATAGGAGGAAAACAGTTTTTCCAGGTGTTGTTGGCCATGTTCTCTCCATGGCTCCGACCCCCGCTCTAGATGCCATTCTCAACCCAATCCTTCGCGTGCTTGTAGCCGATCCATTGCTCTGCCTCTGGCACGACCTCGCCGTGCGCCGCCCATGTCATATCCTTCTTGATGATGGGTAGCTCCGTGCTTTTAGAAACATTGGGAAAGTACGTCAAGTTTTTAGCTTCCATATCTGGCGGATACACGGGTTCATCGAAACTTAGGGTGCGATACGGCCTCCAGATCTCCCTAGTGAGCGCTGACTTTGTATCGATTCCGGGATACAGCTTTCCAAACCCTACGCCGCGGATGTACGAGTAGACATCCGCAGCATATGTAATAAAGTCGCTAACAGTCGGAGCAGTCCGGAGTGGATGACATTTTGTAAGTTCCGAGTTGTGAAATGTTGGAACTTTGATGCGCCACATAGGCAAGTAGTACTTGACCCTCATCGAGGGGTTGTCGTTGCATAGCCTTGTAAGATAAGTAAGGGTATACGCGTCCTCGGGCCCACCTTCCACACAACGGCTCATGGTCTCTATCGTGATGTTGATCGTCTTGATCCACGACCTTTTCGTGACGGGTATGGACGACAGCCATCGGTTCAGCAGTAGGTAAGATGACGCGTATCCGTTCTTTCTGGAGACACGCAGTGTGATTTCGTTGTATTTAAGCTCCAAGCCAACGGTCTCAGCGTAAACTTCCTTGCTAACATACTTGAGCTGGTTGTACTCAACAGTGTCAAATTCAAACGCAAGTTCGTCAAGCGCGTCGGTAGGTGTCGCACGGAGGTAGAGATAATGCCTCTTATTAGAAGGGTTGTACTCGTCCCAGAGGACCGGATCGAAGCAACGGAGAGGTTCTGGGGCGGTGAGAGCGAGCTCGTAGATGGTGTTGCGGATCTCAGCCGGCAGCATGCTCAGGAAGAGCGAGCTGCTGGCCATCTCGATATAAAGGTTGACTTGATTTGGTTCAAAATTGAAGTACAAAGAACGTGAAGTAGTTGAAGCGAACACGATTAGGCAGCAGCAGCCGTCCACCAATGAGAGCACGAATATACAAAGAACGTATTATCAGTATGAACGACAAGGAAGTCGCAGTTTTAACCAGAAGTTGTTGTTTGGGAAAGTGCGCTGTCTCTCGTACTACCATTTCAACAAGACAGCCCGTGTTACACAAGCGGCCTGACGTCTTTCCGCAGAAGTTTGTGAACCTCACATCCTGTGTTTACTACTAGCTCAACGGATGCTATCATCGAGCACGCTATCATGCCTGTGGGCTAAAAGTTGTGATTGAGGCTTTTCATCCATCTCATGACACTGTGCAGGCATTGTTGCCTACTTGAACCAAGTGTTTCAAGAGTAGTGTATGTATGCATAGATGAGAAAACTAGAAGCCTACAGTGTTGTTGGCCTGCTGTAAGCTTATGCAGACCGCAAGATACCTAGGTAGGGCCTATTCCCCTGCACCTGTCCAGCTTGTCTCTTGCATGGGATGTTGGTGGCGTAGAGGTCTTGCATGATTACCTTGGCAGCTGGCTTCCTTCAACGTCACGTGGAAGCCGAATAGACACCCTCACGAAGCATCGTACGATATCATAACATGTAAGCGTGCAGGTCTACGATGGACTGGATGTACCAGGTTGGTGTTGCAGCAGCTCGGCGAGACGCTAACGAATAGGCACAATAGATCAATCATGACAAAGCGAGGCATTTTCTCTCATCGCGATCAAAATGTAGTTTGCATCGTTATTCGATCGGAGAAGGCGACGTATCATGGAAGGATGGCCATCCGAAGCAGGGCCGCAGAGTTGGCGATTGGATAGTCACTCGTTCGCGTCGACGTTGTGGAGGGAGGTTCCTTCTAGCAGGCGGGCCATGGCATTGCCGCTGCAAGGGCATGAAGATCTTTTGTCGTAAAACCGGTAGAGACGGAAGATCTTTGGGCTCTGACGGCGTGCGGCATGCCAGGATAAACCAGGTTTTGGTGGGCTAAAGAGCGGAGCCGAGGTGGCGGTGCAGTTCGGCTTATGGCTGGTGCTTGGCGAGTGACGAATGACGAGTGACGACGCTGTGAACCAACTTGGGCTGCTGGCCATGACCGGCAAGAGTCAAAGAATCTTCTTAACTCCTCCACGTGAACTCCTCTTACTCGTCGCCTGTCTCTCCTGTGACTGTATCCTATGCCCTTCTGCTCGCGCACCGAGCAGCCGACCTCACAACGCCATTCTTGAGCGCTTTCGAGCGCGCGCGCCCAGGCTTGGATTCCTCTCAGCCACGCATTACTGCTTAGTACACCAACAACACGACGATTCCAGACAAATCCTCAGCCGCGCAATCAGCCCACGCCAGCCCACAGCCTGAAATACTGGGAAGCAGCGGGATCCGACAGCCTGACTCTATCCACACAACGCAGCGAAGACGTATACGCGCCGTGCCAGGCAGAACCGCCTAGAACCTGTGATACCCAACACAACCAGCGCATATTACTCCAAACATGGCACTCAACGGGGTGCGTCGGAAGGACACAACTAAAGGGCCGCCGCTGCGCATTCTGTCGCTAGGTAGGTTATGATGCAAGACTCCAGAATGGCAGGTGCTAACCCATGTGACAGACGGCGGAGGCGTGCGGGGGTACTCCATGCTGATAATCCTCCAAGAATTGATGCACCGAACTTTTGTCGAGACCGAAGGCCGAGCCCCAAAACGGCACGAAGTACCAAAGCCATGTGAACATTTCGATCTCATTGTAGGAACCGGCACCGGAGGTCTGATTGCCATAATGCTGGGTAGACTGAGAATGGACGTGGAGACGTGCAAAGACGTATACGTGCGCATGACGAGAAGAGTATTTGAGACGGACAAAACGTTTGCCGGCATACCATATCGATCTACATTGTTCAAGGCGTCCAAGCTAGAGGAAGCTATTATGCAATGTGTGCGCGAACACACCATCTACGATGACGAAGGCAACGACAACCACAATGGGCAGGATGCACCGCCCATGACCCCGGGCAGTGCTATTTCGGGCCGTATGCAAAGGAGCGCTAGTAATGCCAGCAACTACAGCCAGATTGGCATGACGCCCGTAAATATGCGCATAGCCGCCATGAAGTGGGGGAACCCTCACGCTCTGCTATACGACAACCGGGAAGAGCGCACTAAGACGTGAGTGAATCATACATGAGCAGTGTTTCAGTCTACTAACCTTGACAGCGCCGTCACGGCCGTGTACAAAGGCACAAGGAAATCTGGCGCTGGCCAGATCCTGCTCCGCTCCTACGATTCCCGCAAAGAACCCGCCATCGAACCCAACGCCACAATATGGCAAGCCGGCCGAGCCACATCCGCGACTGCCCTGGCATTCAAGCCCATCCAAGTCGGACAATCCGTCTTCCTCGATGAAGGTTCCGGCAAATACAACCCAGCCCCCATGGCCCTCGATGAAGCCGTCTGCAACGAATGGCCCGGCCGCGAAGTCGGCGTCTTTGTGAGCATAGGGACGGGAAAGCGACCCGAAGGCACAAACGCCCAACAACATCTGTGGTGGGAAGGTTTTGTGTCAGGCGGCATCGGCGACTTTGCAGAGGCCCGCCGCAAGCTCATTCAAAAGATTGAAGACTGCGAAAAGACACACAAGGAAATGAAGGACAACCTTGCGAAACGACATGTCAATCCGGAAAATTACTATCGCTTGAATGTCAATGTGGGTGTTGGGGAATTCGGAATGAATGAGTGGAACGCCCTCGCAGAAATCAGCACAAACACGCGCATGTACCTTGCAGAGAAGAGCGTCCAATCCATGACGCTCGATTCCGCCGCCAAAATCGCCAGAATCCATTTCGCAAAAGTCCGCTGGGAGCGCGCGGCCAAAGGCGAATCTCCTTTCTCTCCAGGCGCCCAGGCACCCAATAAACCCCTCCCCACCGTCCCAGACCCTGCACCCATGGCCGTCGAACTACCGGCTGAGGAACTTGCACCAGAATACTACACTAATATCCATCCTGCATTTCGACCCGCGGCGGAACCAAGACGGCCGAGCGACAACGACAAATTCCTCGTTGTGTCTAGTGATGAGTATCCGCAGTCGGCCAGTACAGATGGCTTCTCGGACCTCCCGCCACGTCACTCTGGTGAACTAGTGTCTCCGGGTCGGCGCTCAGATGAGCAGTTTCAAGCGGGAAGGCCGGTTTCTTGGATGAGTAGTGCAACGAGTTGGGATGATAGGTTGAGCAATGCGCCGCCGAGGCCACCCAAGACGCCTTTGCAGGATGGCTATGGTCCGCCGCCGCCACTGTCTTCCGGCGGGTTGAGGACCAGTCCGCCGGCTGGAAGCAGTTTCGCGAGACCACCGCCTGGAGCGCCGCTGCCATATCCGGATACGGATGGTCCGCCGCCTATTGTTAACAAGGCTACGAAACCAGATTATTCGAGGGGATGGAGAGAGAGAGAGACTTTGTGTATGTGTAGGGGAAAGTCATGATTTTTGAAACGACTGAGAAAGTTGCACGTTGAACGATGTATAGTTTAGATACCCATTCGAACTTTGTTCTTTTTTTTTCCTCTTCTCGTTTGCTCTGTTAATGGCTATCGAGGTACCTTTTTGTTCCATTTCACATCCCGTTGTGTTCATGCCTTGTCTGAAAGTAGAGGATATTTCGCTCACGAACGCCGATCAGACTACATGTATGTCCGTTCACATAGCTCCCGCCGAGATCCAACGATATCAGTAGTACATCCTTGTGAATGCGACTATGCGATCAAACCCAGCCCTCTGAACTAATCAGAAATCTTCGCCGACTTGCTCTTCCTCCTTTGGCTCAGGCTTAACACCAATCGTCTCCCCCTCAACAAGATCACCATCAACGATTTCTTCGTCGGTGAGATCCCTGCCAACCTCCTTCTTACGACCGCGTTTAGTCGGAGTCTTGACATCCGCTTCTCCCTCGGCAACAGCAGAAGCAGCAGCATCGCCCTTGACCTTGCGCTTACGCGGAGTCGGAGTCTTCTTCTTCGGAGTACCGGTACTGTCGTTGGTACCTGGATCACCCGACGTGAGAGCTTCGAGCTCGTCCTTGAGCGTGGCCTTCTTGAGGCGGTCTATCATGCGCTGGCAGGCGATGATGGAACGGCCGGCGGGGCGTGGAGTGTTCTAGAGTTTTTCATATTAGTTGTTGGTGTATTTCATGGCAAGACGGGGAGTGAGCGTGGGGATGTGCGAAAGAGGGAAAATGGGGACATTGGCTACGTACGTTGTAGTCGAACTTGACGTTGGAATTCTCAATGAGAGAGAAGAGGTAGGTGAGCTGTTTGTTTGTTTTTCTTCTTGTCAGTCTTATTGTGCGGAGGCTTGGGGGTGAGAAGGGGAGGGTGGGAAAGATATACACGCTCCTTGTCTGTCCAACCAGAACCAGTCTTTGTGCCTTCGTTGCCTGACATGGTGACTCTGGTGTTTCAAGAATGTGTTGATGTTGGTGATTTGATTGGATCCTAGTGTATGGCCGTGGTATATGATGGCAAGGGGATGGCTGACTGGTGTGCGTGGGAAGAGTTGCGAAGTTTTCGGAGGCGGGGGATATGGCGATGGATGTTTGTTCGTATATGGTAGCGCTGTTGTGATAGTGAACTGATGGTGAACAGGTGAAGGTGAGTTTTGACACCCGAAGGCCCTAGTAAATGCGGAGATTGCGCTATCTCGAGTGTCAGGAATTCCTTAGTGAGAGTCATTTACGAGTTGTATAGTTGTCATGTTTTTCTTCATTGAGTATCCAGATATGGTATTGTCGGTTTATGTAGGTAGGCTAATGTAGCATGCATCTCTATAAATGGGCTGTGGCAGATTGAACGGCAACCCCCAAGGTCATATCGTATCATATGCATAGAAGGACAATGTATACATGACTTGGCGTTGATCTTCAGAGCACGGCTACCGCGTTTCCGTTAGCAATCTGTACTCACCTTCACCACGCATCGGGAACTCTGCACCATTGACTACGTGCCGTCTTTGCCGTTCGAGGACTCACAGTGAGGGTGAGTTCCACCCGCTTGGCAGATTTTCCACTCTAGATACAAACGTCAATCGCTTCCTCACCCTGCTTTCTCCCTCTACCTCTGTTTTCCATCTTCACCCTGCGACGGCCATAACCCTTTCTCTACCATATCTGAATACTCCTGCTCAGTCAATATCTCCTTCAGCAATACCACATCATGTCTAGTCAAGGCAATGCTCAGAGTTGGACTGAACACGAAGTTGTACGTTCCCTTCCATCCACCTACGAAACCGCAAAACTAACAGTGGACAGCTCGTCTACCTCCTCAGCGTCATTGAGGCTGGCAATGTGCAACTCGACTACAATGTAAGTATTCCTGTATTCACTATGAAACCAGGTGTACTACTCCTAGGTAGAGCTCTTTTGATTGATATAACACAGAATGCTCCTGTACCTGCTGGCCGCAACGTGAACGGATGTCGCCAGAAGATGAACAAGACCAAGCTCGCGCTGAAGCCAGAGATTGATGCCCTCAAGGCTGGATCACCCATTGCTGCCGTTGTCACTACCCCTGCTGGTGGAACTCCGACCAAGAAGGCTGCTACACCACGCAAACGCAAGCCGAAGACTGACGATGAGGGCAACACTGGTGAGGTTACTCCCAAAAAGGGTCGCGGTCGCCCCAAGAAGAACAAGGAGCCTACTCCTGAGGCTGAAGAGGATCAGGAGGATCTCGGTATCAAGTCAGAGTTTGGAGAAGACGAGGTGGACGACATCCTGAAGGAGGCCGAGCTGATCTGAGGCTGTCTCTAGCCAGCAGTGTGGCACCAAACGCATGTGCATGGAGGAGTCCATTGTGAGGGTTCTGCAGCGCATATCAGCGTCTGACGTCCAGACTACGTTTACGGCATGCTTGGAGTATTACCTGCATCTTGATTAGCTGTGTCTTTGGCTTCCATAACCCGCAGGCATCAAAGATATAGTTGAAGAATACAAGTCAAATACTTGAAACCAACATGCATCTCAACATGCTCTCGGTGAACTTTCCACTCGAAAGCCGACGAAGTCTTCAAAAGACCGAAACAACATACCACCGTCGCACATATGCCCATCCCATCCTTTACATCCCCAAAGCTGCGGTAAATCATCAATTAGCCGCATACAACATACGTTATCCTAATCAACACACCAAACCAACCCCGTCTAACTTCTCCACCTCACCACCACAAAAGCTTTCTCTAACATCCCCAGCATCCCCCCAATCAAGCGCAGCCATCCAACCTATAAAACCACAACAACAGTTCCGTCAGCCACCTACGTATTCCACTCAAAACTATCCATCACACATACACCAGATCCAGATAACCAAACGCAGACCCCACAAAAGTAAAAGAAGCAGAGTTGATTTTTTTTCTTTTCTCTCCCTCAAAAAAAAACCGGCCCAAAGGAGAGAAGAAAGCATACGAGTCAAAAACCGCCTGCAGCCCTACCCGTTCGTCGATCTGGTTCATGCGCGTGCGCTCGCTCCAAACCATTGTTTGCACGTAAAACTGTTGAGAACCGGTGAAAGTGGGTCCCGGGGTCAAGGCAACCTAGCAGCGGGCCATCCCGCAGATGAGAGCGGAAGGGAGGGAGGGGGGCTGGGCGGTCGTGCATGGCATTGTGGCTGGTGTGGTATGGGGGGGGGAGGGGTCTGTGCTACTATAGTCTGGCGCTGTTGTTAAGCACGCGTGGAAGATTTCGGGATCCCGTTTTATCTCGAGGTGATACGAGATAAGGGACTTTTGTGACAAGCTGATCGTCCTTACTGCACTCATGTGTGGAAGTAGCCATTGAGGTCTTTGGAGAATGAGGGGGGCCGTCGTCGGAGGTTGAGCATGGCAGATGGTATTGTTTAACGCCAGTGAAAAGGTAGTCTCAACAAGTACTGTTGTTGAGAACATAGTAATAGTGACGTGAGACGGACACTCCATCCGTCAATGATTTGACATCACCGTTGCAAAGTGGAGACGGGAGATTGATGGTAAGATTGTCCATAACATGTTGCATTTTCATTCCACAGTGCAATCATTTGCACCAAGGTCGGAGGTATCTAGTGTGTACTACAAGTCTCGTGAGAAGACGAATGAAGTGTAGTAGGGTATCGAGTGTCCATCCAGCCATCCCACAAGCACAAGTCGAGAGAAAAGGAAAAGTAATTTTGGTGAGACCCAGTGCCCAGTCTAAAGTGAAGGCCGTTACCGAAACAAGAACCAAAGAAAGGTGCATCCTCAATTAAAGACGAACCGTAGCGCCAAAAGCATGTTCAAGAATCGAAGGAGCTCTACAAGTGAGCAACACCGTTGGTGACCTCAGTCACACCAACAGTAGTGCCATTCAGCTTCTCGCTCGCAACAAGCTGCGACACCTTCTTGTCGAAGTACTTGGGCTCAGTGTAAGGGTCGTACATGTTCTTCTTGATGTAGGCGTCGAGTTGCTCGTCAGTGAGACCGCGGAGCTCGGTAGCACGGTCAACACCGTTCTTCTGAGCCGCACGGATAACACCACGGGTGACAATGACGGAAACCTCGCGGATGCGGCGGATGTCCGGGTACAGCCAGCCGTCGGCGACTTCTTGCTTGTTGAGAGAAGTCGAGAGTGACTCTGCAGAGGCGTAGATCATGTCTTGTGTGACGGAGACGGCCTTGGAGATGATGGCACCCAGTCCGATACCAGGGAAGACATACATGTTGTTTCCTTGGCCGGGAGTAAGCATCTTGCCTCCAAACTCCATTGAGGGGAAGGGAGAGCCGGAAGCGAAGAGGCAGCGTCCCTCGGTGGCAACGACGGCCTCCTCGAATGTACACTCGGATTTGCTTGAAGGGTTGGAGAGAGGGAAGATGATGGGGTGGTTGTTGATCTTGGCCATCTTCTCGAGGATGTCCTTGTTGAAGGCACCGCCAATGGTCGACAGACCCATCAGGATGGTGGGCTGTACGTAGTCGATGAGGCGGCTGAGTGACTGGTATTGACGACCGTTGTTGTCGTCGCGAGCGAAGAAGACCTTGTGTTCGGCGAGCTTGTCACCGCGGTCCAGGGTGACGAGACCGTTTGAGTCGACGAACCAGAACTTGCGCTTGGCCTCGTCCTCTGTCAGACCCTCCTTCATGAAGTACTCGACAATTTGCTTGGCAACACCGACACCAGCGCTTCCAGCACCGAGGAAGATGGCCTTGTGGTCCTTTGCAGGGACACCGGACGCCTTGACAGCGTTGATGAATCCACCGACAATAACGGCACCAGTTCCCTGGACGTCGTCGTTGAACATGGCGTATTGGTCTTGGTAGCGCTCCAAGGCGGGGAAAGGGTTTTTGAAGTCCTCAAATTGGATAACAATGCTGTCACACGATCAGTTTCCTGAAGAGGATAATAGGTGGATGTTACATACCTGGGCCACTTGTCGGTAAGAGCAGCCATGAGCTCGTCGAGGAACTCCTTCTCCTGCTCGGGAGTAACCTTGGGCATCCTGGAGCCCATGTAGAGAGGGTCGTCGCGGAGGGCCTTGTTGCTGGTTCCGAGATCGAGAGTCAGGGGCAGGGTGCTGTCTGGCTTGATACCAGCGCAGGCGGTGTAGAGAGCGAGCTTTCCGACAGGAATACCCATGCCGTTGACACCAAGGTCCCCAAGACCCAGGATACGGGATCCGTCTGTGAGGACAGTGATGTCGACCTGGTGTGGCCAGTTGTCGAGGATCTTGCGGAGGTTGCCCCGGTCGCTCCATGAGAGATACATGCCCTCGGGTTGTGTCCAGATTTCGTGCCATCGTACGCAGGCTTCACCGACGGTGGGGGTGTAGATGAGGGGAGTGAGTTCCTGGCTATGTTAGGTTCGTGATTTTAAAGTGCCTCTGATTGTTTCGTACCTTGATGTTCTCTCCTAGGAGACGGTAGAAAAGATGTGGGTTGGTGGCCTTGAGGTGGACGAGGTACTGGAACTTTTCGATGGGCGCCTGCTTCATGGCAAGGAGTCTGAGGCCTGGGAACGTTAACAAGGCTCACTTCGTCTTTCGAGGCATATCTACGCACATCGCTCGCTCTGAACGTCGTAGCTCTCAACGGCAGGGGGAGTGAGGCCGTATGTGCCCAGGGTTCTGCGGACATCGGGCGTGTACGACAGGTCGTAGTCACCGGAAGTGGTGCTCAATTGGCGGGCCATGTTGGGTCGAATGGCGGAAGGCATGTTGTCGGTTGCTACAGTGGCCATATAACGAACGAAAGGAGGTTTTTGGATTGAAGAACGGAGGCCTTGGGCGGGAGCCGTAACTTTTATAAGCGACCTGAATCGCTGCATTGAAATGAGCTGAAACGACGCGTCGGCAATTGAAAAGGAATTAGGAAGACAGCCCGCCTGGGGCGCGGAGGATGGGGGGCTACATAATAGTCAGCCTATCGGATGGGTCTAGGTTCCGCAACAGTCAGTCTGTGAGGAGATCCGTTCTCGCCGTCAAAGTGTGCCTGTAAAGGAAGCATGGACCAGCCCGTCGGTGACTTTTACGCGAGTCCCTTCCCCAAGTATCTCTCTTGGCGACGACAACTCCGCATACCATGACGATAAGGTTTTGTCGCTTCTGTATACACTCCTCTCTACAATCACACCATTCACACAGCACACTCGCGACATTCCTCAGTAATTTTCTTGCTAAATCCGGGGCATGCCATCCTCGTCGTGTCACAGCCACAGCCACCGGGTAGCAGGGGTCATGACTGGACGTGCATATCACTCGGGAGCAATCGGAACGCCCATTGCCTTGACGGAATGCCGTAGGATTCTTCCATGGCCAAAATCGTTGTCCGTTCTGTGCAGATTTGTTTTTGCCGGTACTGCAGACCGAGCTGGCAAGTAGCCCGAACGCGTGGCAGCAAAGGTATTTGTCTCTACCATACCGCTGTTTTCTTTTGTTCAACGACGGCCTTCCAAGGTTCGCATAGCCCAACACACGTCTTGTCAGGCATCAAGGCATTTTATTCCCGCAGTTACAGTCAATGCGCAGCGCCGCGTTGCAACAGCGTGCTTAATTATTAATCGTGTTGATCTTACGGGAGTTGTCTCGTGTCCTTTCGCCACAGCACTGTACGAAGGGTACCTTGGATGCGTTACTCAGGTCAATAGCGCCATGGACATTAGCCAGATCAACACCTCCGTCTGCTCTCGCGGGTCCGCACCGGCTCCATGGACGTACACCGCGACCCGACGAATTGCTAATCAGTATGAGCGGTGTGTCTTTGTACCGCACAACGGAGCCGCTGAGGGCAACTTTTTTTTACGCAGAATGTGCACCCCTGACTGTTCGCTAACGGACCGTTGGTGGCATGGTGCCAGGGGAAGCGCATGCAACATCCGATTGCTCTCGCCCCATGTCTGTGACAGGCCGGACTGTCTCTTTAAAATAACTCACTGTCTACAGGTAGCCGTGAGATCCGGACCGGGTGTCGACATAATTCCATCTGATTCAGTTCACGTTTGACCACTCCTTCCATATATCGGAGGTCCCAGACTCTACACCTGCAGCTGCAGATGCGACTACAGTGGCTGGTGGATCACCCGCGTGGTGTGGGGAAAGCTTGATGGCTTGGGTAAGGCAGCCGCCTAGGGCTTCGCGCCCAGTTCCTACCATCTTCCGAGAATTGGGGCACGCGACTCCACAATCCACAGCACCACGGGTGGTTACGGACGACGAACTTTATTGCGTGCTATTACTCACATCCGACTTTCGCATTCAAGTCTCCGCTCACCATGGCTAATTCGCAAGCATCAACCATTGA